ATCTTTCAGAATAATATTAGCAAATATAGAATTGTCAATTGGTAAAGTAACTCTGATTCAGATCTACACACCAACAGAAGATATATATATTCTTGATAAGGAGCAATTCTTTACAGATCTAGAAAAAGAAATCACAAAAGGGTAAAACAGAAACTAAGACATAATTATTATGGGAGACTTCAATGCCAGAATTGGAAGCGACTATACAGTCGGACACGGAGCCATGGGTTATCATGGACATGAATACACAATAAATAGAAATAGGCAAAGGCTTATAGATTTCTGTGGTGTTCTTGACCTACTCGTCGGAAAGCCCATTTATCCACATAAGAAAATCCACAAAATTGCGTTCTCTGCAGAAGAAAGAAATGTAAATAGTGTAATTGACAGGCATACCCTAATTTTTTTATATAAACGTTTTGGATATTCAAAATTTTTATCAGTTGTCAATTTTTTTGCATGGGCTCTCAGACTAATTCGATAGAACTGAGACTTTCGTAGGAAAATGGCAACAATTTAAAAAAAAAAAAAACCTACAGTGCGTGCTTAAGACTATTCGGCAGAAGTGAAAACATCAACATTTATAATATATACAATTATAATTGTGCATAAATTACTGGTGAATTTCGAGTAAGGAGAGAATTTTGAACAATAGCTCGTTACGAATAGGATGAAATGCTGAACATTTCCCACTTTTGGTTTCACTTAATTTAATTTATTATTTTGTTATTTCAAGACTTTTACAACATTGGTCATATTTCGTCACCAAATATAAGTTTTTGCGATTTTCTTGTGTCCTGTCATTCTTCCCGTATGCCCCTCTTCATCATTCCTTTGTGCCGTCATACCACTTTCTCTTCGGGCGACCGACTTCTTTCTGGTTTCCAATCCCAAATTAGCTTAGGCCATCGTCTCTCTTCCACCCTCATCACACGTCCATACAACTTTAGTCTCATAGTTTCAATAGTGTGGAGGACGTTCTCCATTGGTTCTACTCGTTCCCTTATTTCACTGTTTGGAACTATTTGAAGGCGAGAGACTCCAATAGTCCATTTCTAGAACCAGTGATTTTTTTTATTGATTCTCTTTAATTGCCCAAGATTCGGCTGAGTAGAGAGTAACACTCTTTAGGAACGATTTGTAATTTTTGTTTTTGTTTTAAGGACACAGCTTTACACCACAGTACCAAATTTAAGGTCTGAGAATTATCTTTCCGTTGTTGATGTTCTTTTCAATATCCATATCCGATGTTCCTGTCATATTCACCCAGCTTCCTAGATACTTAAATTGAGCTTCAGGTTTCAACAACCAGTTGTCCAATTATAGATATCCTCCTTGGCTATTAAAGGCCATATATACAGTTTTTTCTTTGCTGACTTCCAGCCTCAGGTTGAGTATTCTTGAAGAATTTTTCTCATCATATATTCCACATCTTCTGAATCGATTAATACCTGTCCTCAGCAAACTGGAGATTGAATAGGCAATCATTCCCAATCTTTATGCCCATACCTCTACACTTTTTCTTCCATTCTCTTAGAGCTCTTTCTACATAAATGTTAAAGAGAAGCGGAGATAGTGAACATCCCTGTTTTAAATCTTTCGTTATGAGAAAACTATTGCTAACAGAGGCTCCGATTTTAACACATGCTTTAGCATCATAATAAAGGCTTTTTATGGGTCTTTCAAGGTAAGGATTTATATTGAAGACTTCCAACGTTTCCCACAGCTTCTTTAATGGCACTGTGTCATAGACTTTTTGTAAGTCCACAAATATTAGGTGCTGCAGGCGGATCTACGGGGGGGGAGGAGCTTAGGGGCTGGAGCCCCCCCCCACAAAATGGTAAAATATAACTATGTTTTATAGAAAAAAAGATTAAAAACTATCTCTTAAATTATTATTGTTCGTGTGATTACATTTAATAGGACTTCAAGAATAACTAAGACATCATGTAATATAGGTAGTTAGTTTCTTTCTTTTATTTTTCAAATTAATTATCGTTATATATATGAAAGAAAATCCTTCGGGCTGAGCCCCCCCCCAAAAAAAAAAATTAAATCCTGGATCCACTTGTGTTAGGTGCACTTCTTCATTGTGTGCCATTGTCTTCTCCAAGAATTGCCTAATTACAAAGATTTGGTCACTGCATGACAGCCCTATTCTAAATCCAGCTAGTTCTTCAGGGATTATATGGCCATATTCTTCTTCCAGTCTTCGTTTAATGATCCTGCCACATAACCTACTCATGCTACTGGGTCATAAAATATTATTTTATAAATTTTTGTTAATATTTTCGTATTTTGTAGTGTTATTGTAACCGTTCCAGAAAACTGTTTACTTATTTGTTTCGGAAAGCTGTTTAAATTAAATATATTCAGTTTTTTTCTTTTTTCAAATCAGCATCGATGATTACTAACTATACTGTGAGATGTAATGGATATGTTCCGGAACTCAGCGCTGAACTCATCGATGGCTTCATTTTGTTTAGGTAAGAGATCTAATCGATGACATCGATGAGTTCAGCGCTTGCTAAGAACTTGCTTCTTAATTAAACTGTTCAAATTAAACAGATTGCTACTGAATACGCTGGTACTACCCACGGCAGCGAAACAGACTCCTTTCTAATCCACTAAAAGTAGTACTTAACTGCCAGCAGTCGGCGCGGTGGGCAGTACCTATTTGAAAGAGCAGTAAATTCGAAACATCCCCACCACCGTCCTGCTTCAGGTACATTTCTTTGTTTACTTACTACAAATCGGCCCAAACTTAGGAAAGCTTTCGCCAACCATTCAAATACCCCAAATATCCACATGGTCTTTTGTGACGCTTTGCGTTGTCTGGTACCCAGAGTTAGATAGTTCAGTTTATTTTCTGTCTGTATTTATTTCTTTTTTGAAAGTCAACAATTCAGTAGGTACGTATTTCCTTGTATATTATATATTTTTCATGTTTTTTTTTTACTTTGCAGGAGTGTTAAGCCCGGTAGGAGGCCACCGCTTTTTTTTTGTCCCTAAAGAAGAGTCCCCTGGCCATTCATCTCATCACATTTTGTCCTCTTTCTGTATATAATTGAATGTGATGATACAAAATGTTTATTATTACATTCAATATATTTTTTTTTAAATTTTCCATTGAGGTCATAAATAAAAACACTATTAATAATAATAAAACACCCAAGTTCACTTCACACTCCAATGTTTTATTTTATTTATTTTTCAACAACATTTCAGTCTCTAGACCATTTTCATGAGAAAAACTATACTTTAAAAATCTGAAATCATATGGGCTGAATTGACCTTATAAACATTAATTTAGTAGTCTCATACTATAATAGATTTATTAAATTCTGCAATCATATAGACTTTTGTGATCAAATTGAGTGTTTTTATTATTACCAATAAAGTTAAGTTCTAACCTATGAATTTAAATGTCTGATGAATTTATTTTATAAAATTGTCAACAGCAAAACAAAATTATTGTTAAAAATTATAATTAAGATAAAAAAAATGAAATAATTAAATTTTATGTCCAAAACACATTTAGAAGAAAAACAATGATTTTAATTGTAAACATCTACAAATTACTTTAAAAAACCTTTATGTACTTACGGGATAGAGCTAAAATTTAAAACATCCTCAAAATTCAGACTTTTCAATCAAAAGTTGACAAACATAGTAGACACATCATTTGTTTTATGTAACAAATGGCTTGTTATACAAAGACATCCAAACAGTTTCAGATATTGCAACATAATACTATAAAAACTTCCAACAGAGACTAATTTATAAGGTAAACCCATTAGCTCAAATACTTATTTCCACCATGAACTCATACATCCCACGACTTGTCAAGCGGTGGCAAAGAGATTTACTAACTTAACTTAACCAACAAAAACTTTGTAGACGGAAAATTTCAAGCATACCAAACTTATACATTTGTTCAAATATTAATAAATTATATTACAAAATTGTTGTACTGCAAAGGAATAACTGTTCAATAAAAATATTCTACTATAGTTGTATAGTAGAATATTTTTATTGAACATTTATTCCTTGAGCATGTTGATGCATTCATAGGCACAATGCTCATTGCAAATCGGTTTAAAAGAGTCTTCAGATGTCTGTTTAGTTTTTCTTTCTTGGGCACAAAAATTGCCTATTGAAAATTGAATTGCCTATTTTTTTCGTTCGTTCCTGGCTAATTTCTTGTAATACACAAGTTTTTTTAACTGAAGGTCTCTAATCGAGGGCTAATTTTGTTATTATAGCTCGTTTGTGAAGGTTTGGCTCTATAAGCTGCTTTAAATATAGGCATCTTTGTAAAATGTTCTGTGTATTAGATTCATAAATCATTTGAGAATTTATTTATCCGATTTGAGCCGGGGAAAAAAATTACTTTTGTTAGATTACGGAAAATAATAATATCTTGAACTTGCAGTTTTTACTAGGAAGCTCATTGATTTTATTGTCTTTGTGAAATGTTGACAATAATAATACATTATTTTTTTATTTGTAAAACACAATAACCTTATCTCTCTTTTCAGGTTTCGTGAAATATCTAAGATCTTGTCTCAACTCAGGTGTTAAAAAAAGAAATACAAGTGTTCTGGTGAGAAAAACGCTTGAATAAGAAAACAGGAGGTCACGTTAGGATTGAACTGGTGAGAGACACACTTAGTCTTATTTATTATGAGACCAGATTAAGTTTAGGTGGGGAGGTATACATTGAAGAAAAAGGGGGAGAAATTTTAATAACAGCATCAAAGGGTTAAGGGAAGGTAGACAAAAGTATAAACAACAGATAAAATACTAGGAAAATATAGAGGTTTATTTCCCTATAAGAGTGAAATGCTTGAGGTTGTCCCTTAACCGAATAAATCACTGCTATATTCAATCAATTAATGGATTACATCGATGAAATTATAGCTGAGTTTAGAAACTTGCCTAAAGTTAGTGATAGATCCAGATTTAGGAAGAGGAAATAAGGTAAAGAATAAATGAGTAATCCATCAACTAAAACTTTAATTGCAGTCTCCAAACCAATATACACAATTTAAATGTAAACCATCACAGTTAATTAATCGAAACAATTTGTGAATTAGTAATGAATAAACTAATTTACGTGCAATTTAAGATATTAACAAAGTTTATAAAAGATGGACTCACTTTTTTTCTTTATTTTTTTTCAATTTTATTAAATTATAATCTAGAACAACACAGCTGAAAACAACAATGGAACACTAAATGCAAAAATTTAATTTAAATTTTTTTTTGTTCTTTAAAAATAAATAAGGCTTCTGGATTTCCTTCTTCATCCTCCTCGATCTTCATCAACTTGATAATGTAATAACAAGTCACTCAAATTTGTACATTTATTAAGTATATATATACACACATATACACAACTGAAATCACAACGGTCACAATTTTACGAGGCCGTTTTCATCAACTTTATCGATGAACTCGCAGACCAAAGATGATTCAATCCCAAGTATGTACTGGCAAACATAAGGTTCTAATAGATAAATTGAAACCGATCCTCTCGCTTCGACACATTTAAGTTTCACCTGAAAAGATATATTAATATCGTTAAAAAATATAATTTTAAAACATTATTAATATTTTATAATATTACTAGTAGGCCCGTTAGAAAAATTCGCATATTGTTATCAAATGCCAAATTAATAAGAAAATAAAATAATGCAACGTATCAAAAGATAAAGAAATCAATTGTTCCTTTAACGATAAAGATAATAATCGACAAAGGAAACAAAAATTAATTTAAATCTTCATCTTTGTTTGGAACCAACATGTTTACAAATTTCAGTAAGCTGTATCTTTGCTAAAAATTGTCCGATTTCGATGATTTTTTTTTTTTTCAATCTGTAGGGAATTTAGTAATCTCTTATAAAATCATGGGCACAACCAAGGGAAAAGTGTAATTTTTCAGTTATTCGCAAATAAAGTTTGTTTTCTTTCATAACTTGTTTGCCTGAATTTTCAAGGTGATTGGACTATTTTGCCAGCCTGAAGGAGAAGGAAGTCTTCGAAATTGGTGGCTAAATCTTGAGATTTGGTGAAAAATTAACGATGATATGGCTTGCCAATCAAAAACACCATCGATAAATAATATAAACTCCTCCTCCTTTCTCTATCATAGAGGCCTCAAGTTGACGAAATTAGTCATTTATTCAATGACAGTACTACAATTAACGTAAGGTTGTGTGAATGCGAACCCTATGCCTTGCATTATCTCGAAAATAGTAAGTTTTTGGGCTTAAAAACGCAGGATCCGATAGTTCCTACGGAACTATCTGGGTCATGCTGTATGCATCAAAATCTTCAAGATCCAATTTGTCCCGCATCGATCAACAGATCTAGCATTGTTCCATTATTGAAGCCTAGCAAAATGTTTGTATCGACTTTATTTAGTTTAGAAAGAAAAACTAAAGTGGAGAATACGATTCGCTAACCCCCTGTGAAATTCTGAATCCAACGGTACCCCATTCATGGTATTTGAGCATGACATAAGCTTATATTTGGTACAAAACCGATTTCGAGCCTTACTGTAATAATATATGTACGGATTTGATTGATATGACCTTTTATTTTGCACAAATAATTGGCTTTGAAATTAAACAACTATTCTATTCTTTACTTAATATGATTTTTGTGCATAGTCTAATACTTCTTTATTTATTATTAAATTTATTATTAAATAGGGTATCTCAGTTCTTAACGGCCAAACTCTGGAGGGTGATTCTAGACAAAATTTCCAACAAAAAAAAGTAAATTTTATGCATGGGCCGATTCCGGACAGAAAAGGAGTTAAAAACCAATTTTGTGTTTTTCTTAACGTTATTTTTATTGAATACTAGCTTTACCCGGCCACACGCTGCTGTGGCTCAGTATGGCAAAATGGAAAAGAAAGAAAATAGAAAACACATATGAGCGGCTTAATATCAAAGGACATCTGTCATTTTTGAAAAGTTAAAAAAAATTTGTCTGTAACATTAATTAATTAATTAAGCTTCAATTTAAACTAATTCTGATGATTTTTTATTTCATGATTCAACTTTAATATTCTTAAATAAAATCATCAGAAACAGTTTGAATTGAACCCATAAACAAAAATTATTTTTTTTTTTTACTTTTTCTCTGCTTTCTGAAAATGAGAGAGATCGATCTTTGATACAAAGTCACTCATTATTTTCATGTTTAATTTTATTATTAATAATTTTAAAACTTAATGAACAAATTTGTTTTGATTTTTTATGGTAAATAAAAACGAAGGAGATGGTCCGGGGTGGCGGTCATAAATAGGCTAAATAGTGGGATAACTATTTTATTAAAAGCCAACATTTCGACTCGACTTCGACGTTTTTATCTTCAGGGCTAGAACAGACAAGATAAAAACGTTGGCTTTTAATAAAATAGTTTTGCCACTATTTAGCCTATTTATGACCGCCACCTCGAACCATCTCCTTCCTTTATAATGCAACGGTCAACTATTAAATATTCAGTAAATAAAAATGAATAAAGTTCGTTTGGTCAAAATCTTAAATCTCTTAAAGTTCTTCACTGATTGCCTTGAAATTTTAGCTTAAAGTTGTATTCAAATATGCGTGTGGTTTTATATACCTACTATTATAGAATATAAGGTAAAACTATATATATTTATTAAAAACGCACTATCAGTTGGATGTAAAAGCTACACATGCTGTTCAAAATATTTTACGATACCATTTCAATGTTAAAGATCTTCAAATATCAAATGTAACAATACATACCACAGCGTGACTGGTGCTGTAAATCATTTTATTTTACTTATTATCACTTTCAATATACACTCCTCTATCCCTACAACGTTCCATGAGAATCTTCCATTGTCTCAAACAGTACTACGAGTTTTCTTTTGTTAGTATCTCTTTTCTCCTTCAGGACGTGTACAATTTTCTCTTTCACAGCTTCAAAAGAGTCTAAAGTCTTGTTCCTATTAATGAAATAGGAAAAGATAGATGTCACATGTCTCTAGATCCAGTCAATCGGGCCGATAGTGTAACACTCGGATGCTGTACTTGGCCAGAAATCTCTTACTCCGTATAGAATACGGAAAGAGCTAGTGCATAGTCTTGGTGCATTAAATCCATGAATTGTCATCAAATTTAGGTTGTTTTTTCCTTATTCTTTCACAACTTCAGCAACAATGTGAATATTGATTAATAGTTTATTGAATATTCAATAGTTGACTGTTGCATTATAAAGGAAGGAGATGGTCCGGGGTGGCGGTCATAAATAGACTAAATAGTGGCAAAACTATTTTATTAAAAGCCAACGTTTCGACCTAACTTTGCAGCTCTTCTTCAGGGAGGTGTCTTTAGCTAGCAGTTTGAACTGTGAAGTTCAAGAAGTTTCAGTTCTAAGTGAAACTCCTAGCTGAACACACCTCCCTGAAGAAGACCTGCAAAGTCAGGTCGAAACGTTGGCTTTTAATAAAATAGTTTTGCCACTATTTAGCCTATTTATGACCGCCACCCTGGACCATCTCCTTCCTTGATTAATAGTTTAGTTTGAACCCAGGGAAGATACAAAATCCCACATCAATCTCGTTATTTCTAGTCACATCTCATATGACCAGAGACCAGATTTTCACACCAATCCCAAGTAAACTAAATACAGAATTTAAAATATCTTTAGCTTTCCAGCAATATATCATACATTTAAGGAAAAGGAACAAATTAAGATCAAGGCAGAAACTATTATTTTGGACTCAGGAATCCTCCATCACCACCCACATTTATTGATTGGTCTTGGGTTTTGTATATTCAACCCTGTAAACTTTTCTTGGTATATTAGCTTTTATAATAGTCCCACCTAACTCTCTCTTATTTTTTAAAAAATATTGCTGTTTTTTTAGCAACTCAACATAATTGAGCAGCGTTATATTTATTTATGGAATTTTGTTTTCAACTTGCAAAAATAGTTTTCTCAATCTGTCTTTTAGTTAAGGATCAAAGTCTTGCATAATTCAAATTTATCTATTTTGTATTACTACTAACAACGAGAAGAGAGGGAACTACAATAATATTGCAAGGTTGCTCAACTTTGTTGAGTTGCTAAATAACACAGCATTCTCATCAATTAACAGATAATATTTTTTAAAAAATTAAGAGAGAGTTAGGTCGAGCCATTGGAATACATATCAAATATGCCAAAAAAAATACAACTAAAAATATATACAATAATACCTCAGTTTCCCGAGGTTTGCCAGTGCTCTCGCATATATCACCTCCACCGTAAAAGTGCGAAACATATGTCCTGGAAGACAGCGGTTTTGGACGTTTGTGAGAATTACGTTTCAGCCAATCCAGATGACTGTGTATATCGAATTTTCCCAAAGAAATAGAAATTCGCCGCTCACTTCCATCTTTCAGTTTTTCAATATGAAACTGCTCCACAGATTTTCCATAACAAAATTTATACTTCCACCATCCACTACCCTGAAATGAAATAAAAAATATAAATTGGTTCACAACAAACACATTTCCATGTCATTATTTACTTATTATTAACCAAACATAAAAATTTAACATCAAATTAAATTTGCCCTGATGATGATCATCATGCTTGGGATGAAATGTCTGTACCAATAAAAATCTTAAAAATGACTGAGTCCTTACTATTTATCGCCTATGATATGTAAAACAGTTGGCTGATTTCCTTCCATAATAATCTAGAAATCGAGACAATGCAAAGGATAAAAAATAAATCATTTTTTTTTTAAATTATATAAAATAATTTTTTTTTTTCGACTCCTAATATCCATTGCAACAAACACCGGGAAACGTCTCCAATATTTTTCGATGCACTCACTAAAAAAAAATTGGTTGAAATTGGTAACTCACTGATTGAGACCTCCCCTTCTTTGTGAGTGACTTTTTTAGATAAACTGAAACTATTTTATAATTTTTTAAAAAAATAATAGTAAATATATAAAACATACTCCTTCGATGCATTCTTTGCCCCCGAGAAATTGTTCAACAGGCATCGGTACGTCCGGAGCAGTCGTTGCTGGAGGTTCTAATGCTGATGGTAAGTCGGGTTCGTCTACTGGTCTCAATTCAACTCTTACTTGCATTCTACCATCCTTTAGTTAAACAAATAAATAGAATGAATATTATATAAATTATATAATAATTATATATTTAATTACTTGAAAGTAAACACTCAACTTGATCTATAATAAATTTACTAACTTTGTCTTGATACTCATCGATGGAATAAACAGCAAACATCTTTTCGCTCTTTGGATCCTAGAAATATAAGTAAAACAGAATGAATACTACTAATTTTCTTTTAAAAAATAAAACAATACAGTTGATTCAATAATATGGACATATATTGGGCAAATGTATGAATAACATGCTCCTTGTCATCCGCTTTCACAATAATATAAAGCATTGAATTGCCGAATTCCTGAAGAGAAAAAATTATAGATCCTTTCTCAAAGTATATTGCCTTGAATGAGTACCAGGACACTCTGGTATTCATGGATGAGATGGCAGATGAATTAGCAAGCTTCTCACAAACATCTCCCATAACACATCTGTGGCATTAGTATGTGTCTAATCAACAGCAGAATCGAGGAGATATATAGTGCTGAAGCTAAAAAATACTGGTGCTATGAAAAAACAGATTCACTCAAGGTTATTCCGGGATGGAATCTGTGCAAAGAGAAGCAATTTACTAATTAACTTGAGCCGGAGCTCTCTCAAGAAAATTACAGCTATATATATATACTGGTCGATATGTTCAAACTCGGGCAAACGGAGTCGTTTCTTTGTAGGTTCTGTGGTCAGAAGGATTAAACAGCATATCACATCGTTTGTTGGTGTGACAGGTTTGCTGAGTCAAGATTCCACTTATTCGGTAATTATAGGGTGTGTGATCCCAAGACAAACGAGCTTGTCAATCCAAGAAACCTACTTCATTTTGTAGAGACTGCTGGAAAAATGCTATGAATAAGAGCGATATTAATTTAGGCGCACAATAAGCCTTTTTGGCTGCGGTGCATTTTTCCATAAAAAAAAAAAGTATTATTGCCTTGATTCAGCACGAAGAATCATAGATATTTTAGCCTTTGATGCAAAAGGAAAATAGGTTCTGATAGTTGATCCTAAAATTAGATTTGAAAGAAATGATGAGGATCAAGATCTCAAAATACAAAAAGAAAGAGAGGAAATAAACAGAGGACTTTGGTGAGAGAGAATTTTCAGTTTGGTAGGGACTTAGGATCCAATTAAACTGCCGATTTTTTGGAAATACTGGGTGTGAAAAGAAGTATTACAGAGTATGGCGGATTGTATTATTTTTATACTCATTAGGAATCCTGCTTGTGTATTAATTTTGACCACTTTATTATGAGCTCTAGGGACAAAAGTGGAAAGGAGGAAAATGATAACAATGAATGAATAAATTATAACATTCGGTACTTTGAGAGATTTATCCTTTTTATTCTCACATTAAATATTATTGATTAAGACAAATCAGCAAGCTGGGGCATTTAACAACTCAAAGTAGTTGAACAACTGTAGTTTTATTATACTTCTTCCTTATGTTATCATTATTTTTAAAAGTCCTTTTAATTTTAATACAACATGGAGTATCTAAAGCCTTCAAAATTCAAACTTGCTTGTGGCAGATAGATAGCCTTAGAAGATGAAAATAATAAAATCACGTGAAAAATGGAGAGGTGCACGTTGGAATGAATCATGAAATTCTTGGATATGCAGATGATATAGCCGTCCTAGGAAGCAATTGAGAGAGATTAAGAACTCACTGATACTCTGACAGGAGAAGCAGAGCAAATCGGCTTACAAGTAAATGAAGATAAAACAAAATAGTGTGGAGATGTTTACTAAGATTATAATTTGAAATGGAGTTGGTCGTTGGTGAGGTCAAATTTAGTAATATGTATTAAAATAGTATTGTATTAGATACGCAACGAAACGTAGACGTATCGAATAAAATACTATTTTAATACATAGTATTAAATTTGAACTCAACCACGACCAACTATTAAATTATATGATAATAAGCCTAAAATTCTGCCCAATCACAGGATCTGCATAGAAGGAAAATTATTAAGTTATGTAATTATTACTAATCATAACATAATATTTTTTTAGTACACAAATACTTATACCAAAAAAAAAAAAAAATAACTTAACACATTAAAGGCGGGGGATCTTGACGAAAGTATGCCAGCCAAGATAAATCGTAGTACTACGAATCCCTCCTTAAAGCAGCAGTCGAGATAAATCGTAGTTCTACAACTCCCGCCTTTAATATGTTAATAAAGAACTGATATTCATACGCAGACACTTTAATGTTTGATATGATAAAAAATATGAGAGGAAATTAACTTCTCAAACAAATTGAAAATACGGACAGGATATAATGATTAGTACATACACCAAATGAAGAATAGTGCCTTTGTTTATAAGCATCAGTTTCCATTTGCAGTAATGACATAGGCTTTTTGGGGGAGCCATTGAGAGGGCGACAGGTTATTTCATTCTCACCGGTTACCTTAGGCCTAAAAATAAAAATATATATATTAAAAAAAATTAATAAATAGATAACTTAACTGACAAGCTTAATTATTAACATCAGCATAAGAATGAATCTAAGGTAAGCGAGGATTTAAAAAATATACATAACATTTTTCACAAAACACTTCTTAAAACCTAAATTTGAAATGTGAATTTGTTTATTTCCAACCGGTTTTTTCTACGCTTATACATTCATACATACACTATTATATATACTTACAATACAAAACAGTTCAGTACCATTGGAATAATATACAATATACAAGGGATTGGGTATAATGAACCAAAAATTGTATAATTATAGAATTAATTCGCAAATAAAATTCTGAATGCATAGTTACTTTATTCCAGTCTCTTTCCGAAGAAGTAGGTTATATATATGAATAAAAAGGTCATCAAGGAGAAAAATTTAGCTAAATTTCTTTACAGTCACTTCAGCCCTTATGGCACTATAGTCTATAGCAACACACCTTTTTCAGCCACCATTTCGAAAAGAAAGGCGAGACGGTAATGAAATGTATTTAAAAACACTCCTAATTATGATTACAGCATAGTATTAAAATTTCAAAAGCAATTGGTGAAGTACTTTCGGAGATTAGCTGTTTTAAACAAACTAACATTTACATTTTTATTTATTTATACTTTTAGTTTTCAAAAAATGTTTATTGATAATACTTAAGCTTGTCAATAACTAATAAAAAAAAAAGAAAATTGGTTGAGGAACATAGTAAAAAAAGGTAGTGAAGTAAATAGCCTTTGCCTATTTAAATAATGATATTTAAGCATTTTAATTTAATTTGATTTAATAGATGTGGTTTTTAGCTAAATATTAATCTTTTTTTTTTATTATTTAATAAGTACGATATCACTCTTATATATGTTCTTTATCAATTGAACTTACGGGTTATAGATTACTAATTTCCTAAGAGGGTAGCATTAAGTAGGCAACTTATCTTGTAAAATTAAATGGCTAAAATACATACTTAAGCTAGGGTAAAACTGAATTTAAAGAGAAAAGTGAATTAAACTAAAGAATATTATTGATTTATAGCCATAAATGAAATAGAAATTCAACAAAATATAATTTAATAAGATAATACATTACCTGTATTTTGGATGCTTACAAAGTTCCGATGAAATTACAATAACTTCGTATTCGCAGGTAGAAGTTTCTTTAATAACGAATATGTCATTTTTAGTTCCAGCGAAACAGACATACAATACTGCTGTCCTCCTAGGTTTTCCATTCAAATCGCATAATGTACCATCCGTGAAGTTCAATTGCACATATGGTAACGAAATCCCATCTAGTTTCTTTAGCGGAGGTACCAGCGGCCTTCCTTCCGCTTGCTCTTTATCAAACTCGGCACCTAGGAGAACAAACATGGTCAATATTTTATAACAACATGATATAAAATGAATATTTTTTTAGAATAACTAAGCAAATGGCTCATGATATAAATATAATATCTCTCTTTTTCTAATACTTTCTCACAACTCAAACAGCTGCTTTCTGTACTAGTTGATAAGTGTTCCGTCTAGATAATAAGTGAGCCAATATCACTTGGATCACACTTATACATGTAGTGCCAGAAATAGCTTTAATTAACAGCTGACTGTGTCTGTTATAATCAACCTAAACAAAAACGATGATGTTTGTGTATGATTAGGTTACATGTAATTCAGTTTTATTGTTTCGTTTTAAGCAATAATAAATAATGAAATATTTTCTTAGCCTCTCACAATTCTTCGATATTAAAATTTCCACATTTTCAGAACTCATAAGAAATAAATTATTATGTTAATCACGCAGAATGTATAGATTTTTTCCTTCATATTTAAGGCAATAATACTTCCAATTTCCTTCAAATCCTTTTTTCAAAAAACTTTTTTTGATGTGGCACCATTTGTTGAAAAATTCAAACATTTGTATTTTTTGGTGCTACACATCGTTTCTTATTCATTGTTACACTAACCAACAATGAACAATGAACAAGAAAACATGTATAACACCAAAAAATACAAAATAAATGTGACAAATATTTGAATTTTTGACAAATGGCGCCACATCAAAAAAATAAAGTGAAGATAAAGATTGGTCTGATGATGGGAAAATTGTCTCAAAACGTTAGAGACAACAAATGTAATTAAAAGAAATTGAAGGAAATTGGAATGATTATTGCCTCAAATATGAAAAAATTATAAACGTAGGCTTCCTAATAAAAAAAAAAAGAAAATAAGAAGATTTTTTTTTCTTACATCTGAATTATTTTATATATTAATTTCTGTTAAATTATTAAAATTAAGTCTTTGCTGTTTTTAACAATTCATTTTTTTTTTAATCAATTTTATTATATTTGGATTCCTCACTTAATAATTATTGTTATTTGTAATAGTTGTGATTTAAAATAATAAAAAAAGCATGGGATTATCATTAACCTTCATTATAAATTTTTGATATTCGATCATTGGAACACAAGATAACCTTAACACTGTGTATAATTCCGTTCACGCTATTTTTATTCTATTCTATATTTATTAATACGAAGAATTAAAAGTGATAAGTGAAAATTATGCCTACTTGAAATACAGATAATTAGAATTTTGGACTCTTGCCTCCGTATTTTGTAATTCAGTGAAAGGAAAAAAAACCTGCACAAATACTACTCATGAAGGGTCTCGAAGTTGATACAGTACTTGAATACTGTTTCAAAGCCAATGGTTGTGAAGGGATTTGATCGGGCTGGAATCACGCTTAACCACCAGGTTTCTCCCCCTAATTAATTATTTTAATTAATAAGCTGGGTATAACCCACTTTATAGGGGCTGGGTTTGCCCAATGGAGGGTCCATCAGTCAGACTAGAACCCAGGGATCTTGAGCTCAGGTACTCAGTGCTTACCCACTGAGCTACCAATTCAGTCATACTAAGTTATTTCGATTTATTTTAGGAAGAAAGTCTTTAATAAATTAATCAGATATGTTTTCTGTTTTAAATGACTCAATGACAAAATAATAAACTTGTAATTCAGGACTGCAACTTCTGTTATAGAAGAAGAAGTTTATAAATATATCTAAAGATTATAGAGATGATATTATAATAGCTTACTTAATTTTGCCGTCATGGCCTTATCCCATCGGCCTAGGATAAATTCCTGCAGTTTGAACTTTTTACCATCCCTCTCTTCATGGTATTGCCTAATATATCGTCCATGGCACAGTTCATAGGTCCAATAAGATTCAAGCTTAAATGCACAACAGTTTTAATTAGATACAGGATTATTTTCGTTTGGTTTTTTAAATAAGAGTTACTTCAGATTCATACCAATGAAGAACATGAAGAGGTTTCGAAAGCTGGAGACAAAAGTTCGATAGGGTTGGGCCCTGTGTAATCTTCATCTGAATTCTAAAATAAAAAGCAAAACATTACAATGAAACTTAAACAAATGAAATGCTAATATTTAATGATTATCGAGTAGTTACCTGTTCATTTTCTTTTAAAGTCGGTAACAGACATCTATATTTTTCTTTTTCATGTGTTGTGACAGACATGAATTCACCATCTTCTTCAGCTTTTTCCTATCAACAAAAATTAAGTTCATTATATAAATATATATATCAGAAATTGTTATAAGTTTCTTGAACATATGCATGACAAAATAGTAATAGATTTTGTGAGGAGTATTGTTATATTTGGCCTTGTTGTATGCATTGTTTGATAACGATTGGTTTTACAACTTTATTCTTGGTATATTGATTTTGTAAGTACTAGTTACTATTAAAAAAAGAAACACCTATATTTATATAGTAGGTCTAATTGTGGTAAGACCTATTCTGTTTCATATTGGTGTAAATATTTATTTAGTCGAGTGTATTATCCTAGCAGTTTACCACACCTTTTTGATAAATTAACTGGTAGTTACAAATTCATTATTTGGGGTGAATTTAAGTATAATTCATAATATAGAGAGTTATTATTGTTGTTTCTTAGTGGTAGTATGTTTGTTATCACTAAGAAATATTGTGACGATCGTTTATTTAGTAATAAGATACCTGTTATTTTTATATCTAATGTTTTTCCTCCTGATGATGAGGCCTTTTGTAATAGGATTAAGTTATTGATTGTTTTGATGATTTACAGGTGTTAGAAGATATCGCTATTACAGAAGTCGGCACTACATACCTTACTGTCTCAGGTTCTTCTGAAGGAGATTTGAGTAATGCCGTATGATAATAACATCAGAAGATTTAAGCATAACCATTGTATAGTAGAGGATATTTTTGCTATCCTAATGGTCTGTGTTGTACTGATAAGTTTATTATTTATTGGACTATGTTTAATGATATCGGATTTAGTCATACTGATACTGATCTCTCATATATGCAGAAATATTTTCACGTTCTCATTACAGGTTCAGGTGATAATAGTTTTTTATTTTCAAATCTGAAAAGTTAAAAGATATAACTGCTAAATATAAAAAGTACAATTTAGTTTCTGTCTAAATTTTCTTAAAGATTTTGATTTTTTTTTTAAATTACATCTGAATATGTTGGTAAGAAAACTGTGGATCCTGCACAGCACGAAAAAACTCAGTATGTTAATTATGTTCAATATAAATGAACTAAGTATGACAAAGGTGCATGGATGGCCTACTGATTATAATTCAAATGCTTTTAAGTCGATGCAATCCCCATCATGAAAAGTAGTGTTTTGCAGCATCGCAGGAATCATAAGCCACTTATTTTGATGATGTTCAGTGCACAGTTCCTGTAACTTATGAGAATGGTAACGCTCCTATTAGAAGGAGAGTTTTACGTCGTGGTTCAGTTATGAAGCAAACCTGTGTACCTGGGTTTATTCATTCTTTAGCTACAAACATTTTTTATTGTATATTTGTTCTCTACTATGAAATGGTTTCGTGAACAAGGGTGTAAGAGATTGCCCAGTATGATTGTTGTTAGACGATATGGTAATGATCGTGTTTTAGATTAAGGCGATATTTATAATCATGTTTCATATGTTATTACATATACTTGCGATATTACAAATTTGTATTTATGGTTTAAATAAATGTAGTAATCTGTAGCTGTTGTTTTTATTTCAGATGTCTGAAATTGATTACCCCTGTTTATAAGCTCGTGCTGTTGACATTTCGAGATTTTTATATGTGCATTGTAGATTTTATATATGGCCTGTATATTACAAAACTTTGATATTATATCATAATCCTTATTTGTATAGTGTTGGGTTTAGACATGTAATGTTTTGTGTAGTTAATAGGATTAAGTATAGTGAATTTATAGAAGTTATTTCTGTTTTGATTCTTATATAAGTATATATATATATATATATATATATATATATATATATATATATATATATCAGAGGAAAAACTTTTAGAATATTTTTTTATTATTAACATAAGTATTAATTTTGTCATGGTTAAGGAATTTGCCATCTGCAAAGTGCTTTTTGCATTAGGCAAATCTATACACTTCTGAGTAGGGGTTAAGCTAAGTATCTTGGCCTTTGCTATATAAGTTGTCGGGGTGGGATGTACAGGTTCATTGTGGAATTAAGTGTTGGGGCTGATGGGTTCATGTTATAAGTCAGTCTCTGGTCGAAGTTTTTATAGTACTTGTTAAAGTATCTGAAACCGTTTGGATGTCCAAGTTCTTGGGTTACAAGTCATTTGTCATGTAGAAAAGTGCGTCTGCAATTCTTCGCAAATTTTTTTTATTGAAGTTAGAATTTTGTCGGTATTAGACTTTTTTGCAGTGCCCCATAGTACACCATATGCCCATAAAAGTTTTATAATTAATTTGTAGATTTTTGCTTTAAATTGTATCTTTTTATTTTATAAAATTGTTAGGCTTGCAATTTTGGTTTTGTGAAGTATGCACGTATCCAGCTGAATTCTTTACTAGTAGTATTTTAAAAAAGTGAAAATTTACTTAGTATAATAATATAATACATTTAGAAACAATAAAAGGTGAATACATTCAGATATGAAGGTATAAAACTTAGGTGGGGAATTTGCTTCCTCCAAATGTTTTTGGGTGGTTTTCATTAATCTAGCACCAGAATCAATACATATTTAATTGTTTAGGTTTTGAAAATCAATAGAATTAAGTTCAATATATCGCTTTGGGTGTGTATTAACTTATTAATAAAAACACAGCGAAATATGAAGTATAACTGCGATCATCATTATCACTGCCGAACCTTAATGCAGTTTCTAATGATAAAAGTTATCCTCACCTAAGATATAAAGTGTTCAATGTTATGAAAACATAGTTTGTATGTTGTTAATCAAAACTAGCCAATAATTTAAAACTAAAATAGATCTATAAATCTGAAAATGCAGTGCATTTAAGTAATGATTCAGCATTATGCTCATAAGTTTATATATTGATTTATTTCAAAAATAGCAACAAATAAACACTATGGTGTCGATAAAACTTAACTGTTTAGTTTTTAAACAGACTTTAGACCACGCCCATTATGTATATGTTAATATTTATGTGTTTTTAAAAGAATGTTTTAGTTGAAAAGTATAATTTAATGGTACTTAATGCTATATGAACCAGTATTGTAACCTAACCTCATAACTTCAATTGAAGTATTGTATTATGTAATCTCAAATAGAAAGAAGGTACTTGTTGCTAAATAATGTATTACATGGTTAAGTATTACTGGTAAAGTATATAGTAAAAAAATACACTTGAGGTGTGTTGATGAAAAATTAATTTAAAAAAAAAAATCACTTTTGCAAAATGAAGTTGGGTTATTTCTAGGGGTTTTCTAAACAAACAAAAATATCTGTGTTTAGGAATACTCACGAATATATCAACATCTTTTCCAGGCCAGTTGATTTTGAATAACAAGGAATCATCGAATCCTTTGAAGTGCGGCGGCAAGTCGCATTCGGATAGACTTAAAAAAGCTCCTAAAAACAGGAGCGTAAGAGACGAAATCATTTTGATAACACGAAACAAGTCCTATTCCTCATATCACAAAACTTAACAATTTAATCACCTCTACATAATATACGTGTCAAACTGTAACCTACCGGTGAGTAAAGGGTTAAGTTCTTATCTTGTCTACTTGGCCGCGTTAGTATCGTAATGTGATGAAAGTTGAATTTTATTTTGTTTATTTTTATTTAATTATTTATATAATTTGTGTTAATTTGGTTGATTATTTTGTGTTGAGTAAGTTATGTTTTGTTGTTTGGAAGTAAAATATTGAAGAATCAGTGTGTTGTTTTGTAGTGGAGAGTGGATTTTTGCATAACTCTCGTAAAGTAGAATAGCATATACATGGTACTATATAAAGAAGGTCGAAAATTCTCAGTCTTCGGAAGTGTGTGTCAGGTGATGGCACAACTGAACATTGATCGTACATTGATTTAGTGCAGATCTGCTCAGTATAGTGTTATCACGTGGTTTCTAGTAGCCAAAGCGGAACTTCCCGATGACTTGGCTCTCGGTAGAGATCCGCTTCTGGGCTCCTCGAATCACCGCGGCTGTTTCCAAATTGGAGTACTCTCCCTCTGTAATTTCGTCACTTCCATTACTCGGCACTACACGCCACCGTAGTCTGCCTTCTTTTTTGTTGTTTTAATCTATTAATTTAACTAGATTATTATTTTATTACAACTTATACGATTGATGTTGGAAGATTCTGACTGCAATATCATTACTTAAGGCGACCAGTAACGATCACTCCAAATGGAAAGATGTAGCGGAGCGTTTCTCTAATATCCAGACTCCATTCTAATTATTACTCGACTATAGGATAGTATAGACAATTTGAGGAAGTATTCGGCATTGTATCTGATAAATTAATAATTCCTCTGTGATTTCGTCATTTCCATTACTCGGCACTACACGCCACCGTAGTCTGTCTTCTTTTTTGTTGTTTTATTTTATTTTAATCTTTAATCTATTAACGGTAGATTATTATTTTGCTAGCTGGCCCGTCTGTGAATAATTCGCATAAAATATTAATCAGAGAACAACTGATAAAATAGTATGGAACACTAGCATATCCAGGATTTAATTTTGGAGGACTTCCTTAAGTCCTGAGTAAAGTGATTCCTTAAGTCCTTTTAAAGGTAATTACATGAACAATAATACTTTAAGAGATATTTTTTTCCATAAAATATAGTTATATTTTACCATTTTGGGGGGGAGGGAGGAGGGCTTCAGCTGGAAAACGTTTTTTTCATAAAAATGACGATATTTACTTTGGAAAGAAACTATCTATATGAAATGGTGTTTAAGTGATTCCTCAAGTCCTTTTAAAGGTAATTACACGAACAATAATACTTTCAGAGATAATTTTTTAATATTTGTTTCCATAAAACATGGTTATATTTTACCATTTTAGGGCGGGGGGAGAGCTTCAGCCCGAAACCCCTCCCCCCTCTGTAGATCTGCCCGTGCTTATTAGCTTATGACTTATGACTATAGAAATATTACTGTATTTTTTTAGATAGGAGAAACCTAACTAAGCCCGAATTGAAAATTAAAGAAGTTAAATGCAAAAGTATATTGGTTATACCAATTATTTACATATTGTAACTAAGATTATCAACTATTAGTAACTATTTTCTCTTAATTTTTAATCAAAAAATCGATTTTTTTTAGAAGTCCTTGTCTTGGTCTTGCAACAGTTAGGCGGCTTTGGTCATGTAAAGTAATTATAGACTAGTAATTGCAGTAATTTTTTTTCATAAAATTGACGATATTTTGTTTGGAAAAAAAGAAACTAACTACCTATATGAAATGATGTTTAAGGGATTCCTAAAGTCCTTTTAAAGGTAATTACATGAACAATAATACTTTAAGAAATAATTTTTTAATATTTGTTTCCATAAAACATGGTTATATTTTACCATTTTATGGCGGCGGCTTCAGGCGGAAAACTTTTTTTTTCATAAAATTGACGATATTTACTTTGGAAAAAAATAAAGAAACTAACTACCTATATGAAATGGTGTTTAAGTGATTCCTTAAGTCATTTTAAATGTAATTACACAAACAATAATACTTTAAGAAATAATTTTTTAATATTTGTTTCCATAAAACATGGTTATATTTTACCATTTTGGGAGGGGCTTCAGCCCGAAAGCTTTTTTTTTTTTCATAAAAATGAAGATATTTACTTTGGAAAAAAAGAAACTAACTATCTATATGAGATGGTGTTAAAGTGAATCCTTAAGTCATTTTAAAGGTAATTACACGAACAATAATACTTGAAGAGATAGTTTTTAATTATTTTTTTTTCTATAAAACATGGTTATATTTTACCATTGGGGGAGGGAGAGAGAGTTTCAGCCCGAAAGCCCTTCAGCCCGTGGTATGCAAATATGTTAATGAAATTTATTATGAGTTGAAATAATTCATTTCCCATTTCTTGGTCGAATTTAAATAGTTAATTCATAAAAATAAACCAAAACATTTGTAAAATTTAGTGTAGTCTATATTTACTTTGCAATTACTAGTCTATAATTACTTTACATAACCAAAGCCGCCTAACTGTTGCAAGACCAAGTTACAATATGTAAATAATTGGTATAACCAATATACTTTTGCATTTAACTTCTCTAATTTTTTATTCAGACTTAGTTAGATTTCTCCTATCTAAAAAATTACAGTAATATCTCTATAGTCATAAGCTAATAAGTAATTGCGAGACTCTTGCGCAAGACCAAGATCATGACCAAGTCTGAGTTTGCAAGACCAAGACTCGTTTCGGTTTCGTATTTGGGCAACACTAGAGTTAATCCACCATAAATTGCATACTCTTTCTGTTATGGCTAAATTAAGTTTTTGTTTTTCTGAGATGTTGGGGGTTGTGTTCCTTTAAATGTAATTACACGAACAATAATACTTTAAGAGATAATTTTTTAATATTTTTTGGCATAAAACATGGTTATATTTTACCATTGGGGAGGTGAGAGCTTCAGCCCGAAAGCCCTCCCCATAGATCCGCCCGTGGTATGCAAATATGTTAATGCAATGTATTATGAGTTGGAAGAATTCATTTTCCATTTCTTGGTCGAATTAAAATAGTTAATTCATAAAAATAAACGAAAACATTTGTACAATTTACTGTAGTCTATATTTACTTTGCAATTACTAGTCTATAATTACTTTGCACTTGGCAAGACCAAGACAATCACTCCAAATGGAAGGATGTAGTGGAGCGTCTCTATAATGTGGTGTTGCCCAAAATCGGCCCTGGTCTTGCACCTTGCAAGACCAAGACCAAGACTGATAAATGCAAATATGTTAATGCAATGTATTATGAGTTGGAAGAATTCATTTCCCATTTCTTGGTCGAATTTAAATAGTTAATTCATAAAAATAAACCAAAACATTTGTACAATTTACTGTAATCTATATTTACTTTGCAATTACTATTCTATAACTATTTTACACTTTGCAAGACCAAGACGATCACTCCAAATGGAAAGATGGAGTGGAGAGTCTCTCTAATGTAGTGTTGCCGAAAATCGGTCCTGGTCTTGCACCTTGCAAGACAAAGACTGATAAAAAAAAAAATAGATTTTTTGAATAAAAATTGAGGCAAAATAGTCACTAATACTTGACAATTTTAGTTACTATATGTAAAGAATTGGTGTAACCAATATATTTTTTCAATTAACTCTTCTAATTTTTCATTCAGACTTAGTTAGAATTCTCCTATCTAAAAAATTATAGTAATATCTCTATAGTCATAAGCTAATAAGTCATTGCAAGACCAAGACTCGTCTCGGTCTCGCATTTTGGCCACATTAGAGTTAATCCACCGTAAATTGCATACTCTTTCTGTTATGGCTAAATTAAGTTCTTTGTTTTTCTGAGATGTTGGGGGTTGTGTTTAGACAATCTTTAAAATGATGGTGCAATAATTTGAACTAACGAAGATATGGCAATATAATAAATTTATATCATTACTTAAGGCGACTGGTAACGATCATTCCAAATGGAACGATGGAGTGGAGTGTCTCTCTAATGTCTCGACTCCATTCTAATTTTTACCCTAGTATGGGAAAGTATAGACAACTTAAGTAGGTATTCGGCATTGTATCTGATAATTTAATCATTCATTCAATATATATCGTCAAATACAAGTAGTAATCTATATTCGTTAGTATATGCGAGTAGAGTACAAATGTAACAATATTTTACTGATGTAATCAGTATTTGTTAGTGCATGCGAGTATTAAATACAATCGGTATTCATAAATACTTTTAACTTTACTAGGGATTATACGTATTGTAATTGTATCTGTAATTTGTTAATTCTATCTTGTATGTATACTTATAATTAATTAGTTCATAGATATGTATTTTTGTAGATGATGTATTTTTCTTTGTATCCTTCAATATTTTCAAAGTTCCGTACTACAAATCTCCTGGTCTTTGTTTTGATTTTACAACTTACTCTCCCTGAAATGAAACTCCATGTTGCATATACCCGTAAGTTTATATATATATATATTTCCTATACTCCCTTTACTTCAGTTTAAGATGTTGTTTCTTAGTTATACTTCGTTTACTATGTTTATAAAGTTTATTGATCTTAATATTTCTTTGTCCTTTCTATTCGCACTGTTTATAATTTTAATAAGTTTATTCACATTTTTTATGGTTTTTATATAAATATTATGTAACTTCTACAATTTCCTATATCCTTTTATGTATGTTCGTTCTAGCACTGCAGAATATTTACAAAATCGGGTGAAAAACGTCGGCTTGAAATAAAATATTTTTTTCACTATTATTTTTATGACCGCCACCCCCGGAACATCTCCTTCCTCTATAATTGGTTTTATTTGTTTTGTGCAAATTTTTTATTTGTTTGGTACAAAAAACCATCTGGTTGTGCCCCAACATTATTTTTTTTTATAACCATAGAATGAGTTGGGTGGGAGGAGAGGGGCTTTTAAGAGACTCGAATGTCGTTATTTTGTATTTACCTACTACCGTTGTATGTTTGGCCATAAAGATAATGGTTTTGTATTCGTTTTCTGCTAATTTTTGGGTTCCATCTGAAAGGCATATATGTTAATTATCGTGTTTTAAACCAACGACCTTTAACTCGTAATACACTAATCCTTTTATTCATTTGGGTAAAGTTTATGATTGATTTCCTTGCCGCTGGGCTAACTATAAATCCAATGTCAGCTATCGCATTTTTATCGTTTCTCTCGGAATCACTAGCGGATCCAGGATTTAATTTTGGGAGGGGGCTTCAGCCCGAAAGCTTTTTTTTCATAAAAATAACGATAATTATTTTGGAAAAAAAGGAAGAAACTAACTATCTACATAAAATGGTGTTTAAGTGATTCCTGAAGTCCTTTTAAATGTAGCGAATAATAATACTTTAAGAGATAGTTTTTTAATATTTTTTCCATTAAACATGGTTATGTTTTACCATTTTGGGGTATGCCCCCGTAAACCCTCTCCCCCCCCCCCTCCGTAGATCCGCTCGTGCCCGGAATAGAACAGTGTATGGCTGTCGATGATGGTTTCGCCACCATCTGGCCACCTTACCTCTTGAATGACTTTTAACGGTATGTTATATCTTATTAATTGAATATTTAATAGTTGACCGTTGCATTATGAAGGAAGATGGTTCGGGGTGGCGGTACCGTCCCCATGTGGGAATTGAACCCGCGCCGCGTGGTCGAAGTAATCGGGTTGCGCTTGCAATTTTATTTTTATCATTTTTGTTCCCACGAACGGGGTTTGAACTGATGACTTTTCGCTTTCGATAAAAAAAAAAAAAAAAAAAGGCCTCTACACGTTGATTGTATTTTTGCAGGCGTCTTAACCTTTTTTGACCACCGCGGACCCTTTATTTCCCTCTATCACATCAATAATAACTAGTGTTGACCAAAATCGGTCTTGGTCTTGCACTTTGCATGACCAAGACCAACATCGCCTATCTGTTGCAAGACCAAGACCAACACTCTTAAAAATTCGATTTTTTGAATAAAAATTGAGTCGAAATAGTTACTAATACTCGACAATTTTAGTTACTATATGTAAAGAATTTGTCTAACCAATATACTTTTGCAATTAACTCTCCTAATTTTTTATTCATACATAGTTAGGTTTCTCCTATCTAAAAAAGTATAGTAATATCTCTCAAGTAATACTAATAGATAACTGCAAGACTGTGACGAGAGTCTTGCGCAAGACCAAGACTTGGTTTGCAAGACCAAGACTCGTCTCGGTCTCGCATTTGGGCAACACTAATAATTACATACTAACAGAGAAACATCCTTTCATCAATGTTGTTATCCTAAGATGACAGCTACCACAGGTCGAGAATGTGTATGAAATGAGATGAAAATATTTTTTTTATTATTCTGAGACTTATAATTACCATATGCTGACATGGTCGGAAAACAATGGGGAGCTATAAGGGGAGCTATACCTAGCCCAAAGGCTTCCAGCAAACCCCATTATCAGGGCTCACCAACTATTATGAAAGGATGGGTCACCTACTAGCATAGCTCTGGGGCGGGTGGATGACTGAGGCACACTCTTAAGTCCGGCAACCTGATAACTAACCGAAGCTGGAGGCAAGAAAATAATTACGAGTTCCCGTACCGGTGCCCGGGGGATCTTTTAACTCTGTCATTAATACCCCGCCCTCACCCCCTGACCTGGGAAAACCCCCGTATTGCTTAACAGGGGAGGTAGGGAAGAACAAAAAAAATCTGGTGGGACCAGCTCATTTCCGTATTGCCCGCAGAAGAAGACGAGCTCCAGGAAGACTTCCAGATTCTGAAGAAGGAAGAATTTCTAAATGAACTGCTAACACATCTTTGTTCATGTTAACTAGCAGTAATGTGTTATTAAGCATTCATGCCTAGTAGCAAACACTCCTATTGCCATATTGGCGTGGTAGGGTGGAGTCAATAAATAAATAAAAGAACAAAAAAATAAATAAACATAAAGTAGCTCCGGTACCAAAATAAAATAAGTATAAAAAACTGGAACTGTTTTTCTGTGTTGTTAATATCACTATACTGATGATATAGTTCTTATCCTTGGATTCTATACTCCACTCTTTAAGTGAGAAAACTACAAACCAAGTATCTTTTCAGTACTAACCCAATAGGTCTGAGTTTGTATTAGTTGTTTTTTTTATTTGTTTATTGAGTAATATAACCTTTTTTTCTATTCGACAATGGTTATAGTGAAATAAGACCACATTCACACTGTATATACATAAAAATATAAAATAAACAAAAGCAAAATAACAACTAAATAATAATCAAAAAGTATATACAACAAATTTAAAAAAAAAAAAAACATACATACTTATACATGGTGTCTCAGTTCTTAATGCATAGGCTGATTCTGAACAGAAAAGGAGTTAAGACCAATTTCGTGTGGTCACATTCTTTTATTTAATAAGAAGAAATCAGTCATAAACTGTTCAAGATAATAAAATTTTAAGTACACCAATGTGAAGTAGAAATACTTTTTTTTTGAGAAAACAGTGATTAAATTTATTGTATAATCAATAACAAAAGAGAATTTCAGGTCTAGTATGGCCACTGTACTGTTGCAGTTACATTACCCATACACGAGCAGCATATCTCTGTACAGCGACCGTATTAGACATGAAAGTCCCTTTTATCATTGACCTTAGTAAATTTAATCACGTTTTTCTAAAAAAAAAATTCTATCTACTTTACGACGGTGTACTTAGAATTTTTTTATCTTAAACGTTTGAGCAATTGACCACACAAAATTGATATTAACTGCTTTTCCGTTCGGAACCGGCAATTGCATCAGATGAACTTTTTTGTTGAAAATTTTATCTATAATCACCCGCTAGAGTTTTTTGTTTTTATATCCTTTTATTATAGTTTTTTAAAAATAATTTTGGTTATTATCTTATCATTTCTCAGCCCTGATGACCAAAATGTTGGCACAAAATAAAATAAAAATAAAAATCGTTCATATTTATTTGTGTTCTCTCTGACTGCAATCCCACATCCAACTTCCCAAGCATATAGTCTACAGTCAATAATTTCTTCACCAAAAATGTTTTCTTAATATATTCTTTTGTTAAGGAATAGAATATATTTCAGAAAACTGAAGTTAAGATGAAATAGCAATCTATTTCAAGGATCCTAATAAAAATAGACTGCAGTTAAGGCATGTTTTATAATTTTTTTTATGTAGCAACTTATTTTTTAGCTAAATATTGAATCATCAAACAAGGTGGAGATTAAAACTTACTTGAAGAATTATAAATATAAAAGAGGTATAAATATAAAAAATAAATAGAAAAAAATGAATTGATAATATATTTTTATCTAACTAAAATATAATCAAATATATATGGAGTTTTTAAATATATCTAAAAACATTATAATAAAAATAAATAACTAAAAATACAAAGATGAATTAAAGGTTAAAAAATTAAAGTTTAGTTGAATTGTTTTTTTCCCATTCTGATCTAAGTTCTGAAGAGACTTCAGTAAAAAGTAAGTCCCAAGACCACAGATTATCTTCCTGCAACATAAATGCAATCAACTTAATTTTTTTTTAATTATTCATAAAAGTTAAATTCATTGTATGCACAAAAAAACAAACAAATATGGCCATTTTATAAATATTTACTCTATTAATATAATATTTTATAATAAATGTTTTAGGATAGAAACATGTTTCATATTAATATGTACCTTTAACGGATACAATCAAGATAAATAATATTAAATAAATTCCTACCTTTGAAATTTGGCATGTCGGAAGAAAAAAAAACAGAAATAAAAAATTAGTTAAATAGATTATTATTATCATTATAAGAATAGGCAAACACAAATTGGTTCAGCCCCTTTTACTCCTCTATCATTCAACTGATTTTCTTCATTTTTTTTTTGTTTAATAGATATTGACGAGCTTTAGTGTTATCAATAAATAAAAATATTAAATAGTTTGTAAATAAAAATATAAATGGTAGTTTGTTCAAAAGGCAGAAAGTTCTTCACCGATTTCTTTTAAATTTTGACACAACGTCGCAATAATATTTAAAAGTTTTTTTTATATGTTTCATTACCATCAGGCCTTTCCTTTCGAAATAGCGGCCGAAAAACGTCATTCGCTTTAGACTGCAGTGCCAATGCCAATACAGCTTTAACGATTTTAATGAAACTTGGCTAAAGTCTTCCTCTTGAAACATTTATAATTTATGTATATAAAATACTTTCCCGAAAAAAAAGCTGCATAAATTTTTATGATGAATTCAGTATTTTATTTGTGAATAACTAAAAAAGTACACAGTTTTTTATTGATAATACCAATATTTATTTGAAAGCTTCCTGAATTCCCTACAAAATAAAAAAAATCAGATTATTTGTCGCAGAGATATATCGTTTTAAACATTTAGTACTTTCGCTTTTGCAAATTCGATTTCCTCTATTTTGGTTTTTGATAACTCGAAAACTTTTCTTTAACTGAGATAATTTGGACTATTATTTGAAGAGATGATATCATTTAATTTTAGTGGAATGATATATCATAAATTAAATTGAAAAATAAATTCTATAGTCATATTCATTGTTAACTTAAATACTGCACAAGCATTAGTTAATGGATTACAAATTAGAGTGAAGTATTAACGGGGGCTACCTTAAATTAAAGAATTTTAATGCCAAGAATTAATTTAACATTTTCTGACACAATACTTACATTTGACTTTCAAAGAACAACGTTCCTATTAATAGCTGCATTTGCTATGACCATAATCAAATCGCAGGGTAAAAGTTTTGGAAAAATATGTGTATTATTGCGACGTCGAGTAATTTCCCATGGACAATTATATGTGGCAGCAAGTAGAGCACGTTCATTTAAAATATGGAAATTTATATTTTCAATGGCTATGCACTAAATAATAACAGGACATTTAAAAAGAACATTGTTTACAAAGAAGTTCTGAATAAAAATGGATTTAAAGTGAATTGAAATTGCTAATTTATATATATTTTTTACTTGCTTAATCATAACATTAATTTATTGTGACAATAATACACATAAATTAAAATGAAAATTAAATATTTTTGATTGAGTCTATTTTTTATCTTCAAATGCCCAACTGCCTCAGATGAACTCCACATTCTCCAGTTATCTGATCCTAGGGCTCCTTTTTGCCATCCTGCTTCTCATACAGCATTCTATCCACATAAATAACCATCTGATTCTGGCTTTTATCAATGCCACAATATCAGGTTAAGTAGTTTAGTGAACATTTATTAAATTCCCTATTCCAATAAATTTAAAGTGTTAACGAAAAGGTTTACTTCTAAATATTTATCATAAAGAGAAGTTCCCGTTGTAACCTAAATCGTATTTAATTTTAAGATATTAAAATAATGATTTGTTGCATAGAGGAATAAAATAAAATTAATTTAAACAGACCAGATAATATCTCAAATTTAAAATACATCATATAATACTGAATTAGATGGCTACAAATAGGTGCTTCTATTGAATTAAGATGCATATGAAGTGTAGAAATGTATTTAGGACCACCAAGGTGCATTTTTGTAAAATTCTTATCAGACCTGTCTGAAATCCAAGAACTGGGCCTTGCAAGATTTGACCTGTGAATTCTCTGAAGAATCTATAAATAGGGCTCCAATGATGTTAGCTAGAGGCAACATACCAATACAGAGCTGATAGCCCTTATAAATGAGACTGACATTACCAACTACAAAAAGAAAATTGGACTATGGTGGGAGCGACAAGGATGGCTAAGGATCAAATCTCGAGGAAAATGCAAGACAAATGGGTGTCGACAAACTTTCTAAATCCAGGGAGCAGGATGGCCAAGCAGACTAATGCATGTGCAAAATACGTTTTGTCCAGCAACTTGATAAAATGAAAATTACATGTTCGAATCTGGGGACTTTTAACTCTGGCATCAATGCCCTGCCCTCTCACTTGGTCCGGGAAAAAAACCATATGACCAAAAAGGTGATAAAGGAGAAAAAAAAACATTCTAAATCCATCAATGTTGTGGGTAGACTTGCTCATCCACAAAGTTTAGTGTCATTTTAGAAGTTAGAATAATTTTTTTAAATTTAAATCCCACAAGTGGTACATAGAACCTTCAAGTTCTCCCATTTATCTCTTTCTTCAGAAAAATATTTGGATCCCGATCCAGGTCTGATCTGTTTTTTGTACTTGGTTTTCCAGGGTCCTAATTGTAGTATCTTTATCATTGGATCTTCATTACAGTACCAATAATAAGGCAATTAGTAGATAATATTGAAAAAAAAATAACACAAACCTCTCTGATCTCACTTTCTTTGAAGAGATGCTTTGAAATAATTCCCATATTTATGTTGTCATAATATTTGAAGAGCGATTGCTTTTTTAAATCAGCATTCAATTCAGAAAGCGATGGGACATTAGTGCTGACACTGAAAAACAAAAAGTAAATAAAAAAGTTGATTTATCAATTTAAATATTATTATATTTTTATTGTAAAAGAGATTAATTATTATTATGTCCAGAAAGTTAATGTACTTCCAATAAATATAGTAATGTATAATAATGATAAAACCTTCTTGATCTGTTTACTCCTTGCACCTCTTTCCATTTTTTCAACATGAGATCCCAACATGCAAACCTGTTTATTCCTTCTCATAGAACTGTTTTCTTTAAAAAATCTTTTTTCATACCTGCTATCTTGTTTTGAAATTCCCTACCTATTTCCGTAAGAAAACCCTCATCCTTAACCACATTTAAATACCATTTATTTATCCATCTCCTCAGCAATCGATCTTCTGAATATATGTAAGAATAATATTTTTTTTTTAGAGCTGTAACCTCATTTTACTGTCTTTTTACAGATACCTATATATTACCCATGTCTATGTGTAAACACACTATTATAAAACCTACCTATAATTCAAAAGTAAACTTGTGCCAATACCAATGGAATTTAATTAACAATAAGAAGATTAACTTATATGCCAGACAAATGTCACTAAATTGTTCATTATAATTATTCTTAGGGGGCTGAATGCCCCAGAATAAGATTTACTTTTAATTTTATTTCAAAAATATATTAGAGAATAGAATAGAATAGAAAAATAATTTTATTCTGGGACGAAGTCCCTTCAGAATAACAAAAAAGTACAGAAATTAAAATTTTACATCTGGCCAGATAAAAACAAACATAACAAATTAAGATTAAGATAGGTCATTAAAAAAAAGAAAAGAAAAAAATATTGGTTATACATACTATATACAAAATAAAAAAAAAAAATCTATATAAAAAACTCTTGAAACCATACTAAAATACTTAAAACTATGTACAATGTTAAAATATAAATAAACCCTTTTAGAAAAAATAAAAAATACAGAAAAATTAAATGTGTATTCTTCTTAACAGTAAAATCTGTTTCTGTTGAAAAAAAAAGAAAAAAAAAAGAAAGTCGAATCTATAATAAGTATTTAGGTATGAGCTGTATGTGAATATGGTCTTATAGATAGTATGTAATTTTACATAAAAGGTTAGCTGGTGCCTGACTGTTTTTGGGACAGGAATTGGAATAGGAGGGTTTTGAATGTAGATAAGGATGAAGAATGTCGAAGTTTGATAGGAAGGGAATTCCAGAAACTAACAGAACGTGTAATAAAGGAGGTTTGGAAAGAGGCAGATCTGTGAGAAGGAATGTAAAGGTCGGAAGGTCTAGATCTTGTGGAGAGGGAGTGGATTGAGGACTTGAATTGGAGAAGGTTGTAGGCGTAGGAAGGAAGATGATTGTTGATGATATGATAGAGGAATCTACCTAGGAAATATTGTCTTCGAATGGAGGGGAAGAGCCACTCTAACTCAGTGTAGTGGTGAGAGACATGGTAGTATCTCGGGGCACCAATTACAAATCTCACGCAACTGTTCATTATTCTTTTCAGTCTGTCGCGGAGCTCCACCGAGAGTCCATCATACACCACACAGCAGTAGTCAAAGTGGGGGAAGATGAGAGAGGAAACGAGGAGTCTACGCGTATGTTGAAGTAGGAGATGGCGGAAGCAATGGAATAGTTTGAGGGTAGAAACTGTCCGTCGGGAGATGTGAGAAATATGGTGACTCCAGGAGAGGGTTTGATCAATAAATAGTCCTAAATTTTTTACAGAGGAGTAGAAGGAGATTGGCTGGTCACCAAGGTTTAGTATGGGAAAGTCCGTATAGGATCTAAGGAGGGGCTTGGAACCAATGACAATGGCCTGAGTTTTTGAAGAATTTAACCTTAATCCGTTTAAGTTTGCCCATGCACAGATTTTAGTTATATAACAATTTTGAATAATCTTTTTATTAAATTTCCTAAAGATGAATTTTAAGTAAAAAACAGTAGCTATTTAAAAATATAGAATACAAAATTTAAGAGACTATTCGAGTAAAATTGTTAAGTGAATAAAATATTGTAAAAAAATGCCAATCTTACACAGGTGCATCCGCGATATCTCCCAGCTGATCATCATCTTGTAATTCTTCAACATCAGGAATTACAGGAATATCTAGTCATAATTTACAACAAATCAATTAAAAAGATATGATTTTTAATAAATTATAATTATCTTGAAATATTATAACAATTTAACATATTATATTATTACATCATTGAATAAATAGATAATGCATTGTACATTGTAGATCTTAAATATTAATTATGTAGTGGATAATTTATCTATTTTTATTCTAAATTAGTATTAATAAAACTAAACTGTACCTACCATCTTCTGAATCTTGTTTTTTAATTCCTCGCCCAGCAGATTGAAATCGTTCTCTGAAATTAATGACAAAAATAAAATGATGTATTTTCTAAAATTTTAAATTTTTATTCAGAAAAATACTCACTGTTCAAAGAATCCAGAAATACCAGATTTCTTGCTCCTAAAAATAAAATGTTTGTCAATGAATTTTAACATACTCTCAAGTATAATAAATGAAGCATAAAGCATTCTTAATATTATTCTTTAAAATTTAAATAATTATTCTTGTTCAAAATAATGCATTGTAAGAAGAATATTTGTTTGCTAAATGTAATAAAACATGTACATATCATATGATGGAGGGAAGGATAATTGGACTGATCAATCCAACTATCCTTCTCTTTATTATTCACTACAGCCAACCATCATCCCACAATTATACATATCATATACAATGCCCAAACATTTGTAAATTTAAGAGGAGGCTGAAAAAACAAAAAAATAAAGAAAACACACTAGAAAAAACAATTTAAAAACCATAACTCAATCCATCAACGTTTTAACAAAAAATTCAACCAATTCAGGATATTTAAGTCACTTATCAAGCATCAATAGTAACAATTTTTATTAGAAATGAAGCAAATAATTTAGGACACAAGAATGCTCTAATAAGTATTGATTAGAGGAAAAATACTGAAGATTTATTTTTAGACAAAATTATTTTGTTTTCCATAGTCTAATAGACATTATAATATATTAATCTGTATATGGTAAAACAAAATTATCGATTTTTGTTTTCAAAATAAACTTTATTTTTGGTTATGTCTTATTTCATGTATTAAATGAATTGAAGTTATAAAATAATCAGTTTTCGCTTAAAATATATAATAATGCTTTATCTATTCTGGGACAAGTCACTTTAGAATAACGTACAGAGATAAAATTGAAGAGAAGGATGGTTGGGTTGATCAGACAAAATAAAATAGTAAAAATAAATAATTGTAATTATTTTCACATTCGCAGACGTTTCAGCCCAAAGTTCAGACCTTCATCAGGGCTAAGAAAAGAACCAGATAACAATAGATATAAGAAACTATAAACATTGAATAATGAATAATTAAAATTTAAAAAGGTGAAAGGTATAGATTAAAAATTTAGGTAGAAAAACTTAATGTAACTGAATAAGAGCAATATATATTTTTAAAGTCATAACAACATCAACTAGATGCAGTTTTGTTAGTTGTAGTTCTCTAGATGCGACTCTAATTTCAGATATCACTTATTATTTATGCCAATATGGATACAGAAGTGTGTAATTTCTATAATCATATTATAATTCTGTAAAAATGTTTTTACATATTGGTGATTGCATAGAAAAATTCAAATTTCTGTCCTAGGCTGTCTTAGAGCTTTATACTTAGCGTTTTTTTTTTAAAGAGAAAGAACTTCTAATAAATATATTATTTTTTCTATGACCTTCATTTCAAGAAATAATGTCATTCTCATTCAGTAATTAAACAAACAAACAAACAAAATAGTTTAATCACTTCAACAGCTTACGTGAATGTTCCACTAGAAGTATAAAATGAAATTATGAAAAGTATATACCTACTGTATATACATACATTTATTAGAAATAATGACATATTTTTTTATCATTATGTCCTCTTGAAATATCCTTAGGTTCCAAATCTATAGAACTTATTGCAAACATTCTCTGAGTGTTTGTTCTGCAATGAAACTTACAGTACAGTAAATCATTGTACTGTGGGTTTTGTTTCTCTCCTCTGGACCTTTTCCAAACCCAACTTAAAAAAAGGGGAGAGTTTTTGTGCTTCTATTAATGAGCCACCTTAGCTAGATGCCTTCAAACAAGATTGATTAAGTGAAACCTAAATTCAAAGTGTAGTGAAACCTCAGTCCAGTAGTTCAATTTAAAATAATAACATGGAAAATTTGATTCTGTTTTAATTTAACTTCTCTCTCATATCTTTCATCATTCATTAATGGTAATTGTTATTTTTAAAACCTTTATACGCAATTTTAAGCTGTGTGGGATAGAAACAAGATTCCTACACACACCATATTCTTTTCCTTTATTTGATGGTCAATCAATTTTTTTTTTTGGGGATTTATCCCTCCTCTGGAGCCCATTAAAGTTGGGGAATTAGGTGAGAGAGATTAATTCCAAATGAGGGATGAATTTTAACATAAGATCAGGGGTGCACAGATGGGGGATTCATGGTGCACGCTTTATGCACCATTAAAATTTTTGAGGGGCCATATTTTGACGGGTTTTTGAATTTTTGAGGGAGGCACATTTTGACAGGATTATGAATTTTCATAATCATGAAAAGTTTCATACCAAGGGACGAGAAAACATAGAACAGATCACAGCAAGTGTAATTGTGTATGATCTACGATTTACAACGTTCACTTACTCTGTTAAAAAAATATGAGCAATAAAATATCTTGGGAGTGGGGGAGGAGGTAGGTTCTTGGCAGGAGGCAGGTGCCATTGACCTTAGGGGGAGGGATGGGCACTCCTGCATAAGATTACCCTAATTTATATGACTTATTTTCACTAAATATACAAAATAAATATAGTAAATATTGCTCAACTGTGATGCCTTTGTGGTTATTGATTTATTCAATAAATATTAAAGGTTGATTACCTGTGACGATAGAATAGTATTTTTATCTCTCTCCTGAAAATATATTTTACTGAAAAATGTACATTTGATAAAATAGACGTAGCTTCATCATCCCATTAGAATGTGAACTTAAAAGAATCAGGAAAAAAATGTTAGAAAAATCAACAAAAGTTTTGTCAAATTTGACATTTGCCATGGATTCTCCTGCATACATGGTACATGAATTATACCACAATCAAACAAATTGGATGGAAGAATTTTTAAGCTGAAATAATTTCTAACAAACAACAATTTCTTCTTCTTTATGAACTTCTAATTCATAAGTTACTTTGAACAAAATCTAAAAACATTGTGTAATTGTTAAGAAAATAATATTTATTTATCTAAATTATAATTGTTAATTCCATACAAAATTTAATACCTGGTCTCTCTGCATGCACAATATTACATTTTACTATTTTTTTAAAACAGTATTTAAATCAAAAGTAAACAAAATATTTCAGTATAAAAACGTTTAAAGAACAATATTTTTTAATTTAATCACATAATTGTGAAATAAAATAAAACACATATTTTGAAGTATGGCTAGTATTTTAATAACAATGCTATTACTGATATTATCAGTTAATAACAGAAAATAATAAATATAAATCGAATAAAAATTCAAACATATTACGACTCATACTTGGCAGATTTGACATTTTCATCACTCCATACCCCAGTTTTTCTAGCCCTCGGAGGAGCAGACGGTTCACCAAAAAAACTCTATAATAAATAATCAAAATAAATAAAATGGTACAACTGACTTACATGTCGACTAATGAAGTACTTTGGTAACTTATATAGTAACTCTAATCAGTTTGATCAATACCTTGTGCTCAGGTGAGAATTGGAAATCTGAATCCATTTTAATCTATGAAGTAACAATTTAATCCTGATTATAAAGCTATAAATCCATGGAGTGACAACAGTTACCTAGGCAACTATCAACAAGTGAGGTTGCAATGAGGTTACTCCATAAACTTGTTCTGATAAAGAAAACTATACATAACATTAATAAAATATTTGATATTTTCACTTATATAAATAACACAATTATTCAATAATAATCTCTAATTACTTTATTTTATATGAAAGGGTTTGAAAATGAATTCCGAATACTTTTAATACAAGTAATATTTATTTACATCACATTTTACAAACTTTTAACTAAACTATATACAAAATAATAAAAACTAGTATTACAAAGCATAAGGTTGGTCTGTACCATCATCTTGGTATTTATAGTAAGTTTCTTTGTCTGTAAAGTCCTTTTTGCCCTCTTGCCATCCTCTTGGAGGAGCTTTTTGGTAGTCAAAGGCTTCAGGGTTCTTACCATACATGTCACTTACATCGCAGATATCATCTCTGAAATTATATCCAACAACTTTCTTCCCACTGATAGGATCCACCACATCTCCAAGGGGATAGACAACTTTGAGTACTTTGTGAGTGATCAGTTTGGACATTTTTTGAGGCAATTTCTGTATTAGAACTATATCACCGGTCTTACATATCTTATCAGGATCGTAGGCATAACAACTTTCTAACTTCTTAAAGTACATGTGAAGGTTTTCATCCAATTCCAGTTTTGAGAAAGTGAATTTTGATGCATTTTCTTTGACAGAAGGCATACACTTAGCTAGTAGTAGCGATGCGGCTTTTTTAGCACTCATTTCTCGATTTTAATAGATAATATAAGTATATAACATAAAAACCAATTTATTTTCTAGCTGATTGAGAATTGACCAGGTTATGTTAGATGTCCACTGTTCTTAGAGGTTCAATTCATAGAGGTCATTATTTCTGTAAGGCATATAAAGAATTTAGAAAAGGATCATTATTGAACTAACTTAAATAGTTAATGCAACTATGAAAACAATAATTTAACATTTTTTCATATATTTTACTATAGTTTTATGTTACTTTTCGTTTCGTTTGTTTCGATGTCTAGGCGCAAAACATCCAGGACATCAGCGTCCGTTCAACTAAATAACACTACCATGGGTGATAAATATTCAGGGCACAGTTTTTTAAAAAAATTTTTTATTTGTGCCAACGTTTCAACTCAAACATGCGGGTCATCTTCAGGGCGTGGTTCGAGCACTGAATGCTTTCAAGTACTGACACATTTGGTAGGTAAGTATGTCAGTGTCAATCACTTACGCATAGTGAAATAATCATTTATATATTTCTTTGCCCCATGGTTTGTGAAATGTATAAACGCACGTTTAGGAATCAAGAAGTTAGATTTTCTGGACCCGATAAAGCATCATGAGACATGACAATGCTTCCTACAAACATTAAACTCAAGAGCTAGAGCAAGCATTCTTTAAATCCTTTCTGTATTTTAAGTTTCATTGATAATGACTACTATCTATTTCAACCTTTTTAATTTTCTCATATTATACATCATTTCAGGTAATTATTGGGACAATTAAATTAAAGTATCTGTAATTTAATCTACTTCTAAAGTTCATCATTGGTATAGAAATTCCTGTAACTTCTCCATAAAAGGTCTTTATGCTCAACTGTCCACTTGTAATCTTTCATGCCAGATCTTAAGGCTCGTTTATGCGATATTTTATTGCTGTCCGCGGCGAATTGTCATTATAGTTGTCTTACTTTCTATATAACAACCACAATCATACACTGTGCAAATTTCTCTTATACAAATATTAATAATTGCAATATTAATAAAAGGTATCGTCAAAACATTGGTAGAAATGTCACTGATTGACTCATTTCTTTATAAAGAGAACAATGTGGGGCAGCACTTCTCTTCTATTAATGCGTGGAGTAATTTTAAAATAAAATAAAACAACAATTTCTGAAACATTTATTGATATGAACATGTTTCTTGTTAATGCTCGTGCATAAAGAAAATGGACTGTTCCGTTCCGAGGATTTGCAATCTCTCTTCAAGTATCGCTACATGGAACACATAAATTTCCAAGTCTTCACTGGCAGCGATCTTAGATGGGTGGAACATGTAGAGTTCTGCTTGCTCGAACTTTTAAGCGCTTTAATGTTAAAAAAATCTTCATGAAAGAAATTTAATTTAGGGAATTGTTTCCCGATTCTGTCTTGAGTTAGTGCCCTCTCCAAGCAACATACATTACAAGTTCATATATTACACGATTCTCCTCTTATTAATAATATTTAGTAAATAATTAATGGAACAACAGAAAAAGAGTTTACCAGTGAAGACGACTTTTTATTTTACGCCAAGTAATTGAGATACTTCACGATGACCGAGTTTCTAAAATCAGTGCGGAATTCATCAATGATATCGGATCCAAATCTAAACTAAGTAAAACGTTGTCATCAATGAGCTCAGCGTTGAGTTTAGAAACTTGTTACCCACTTCTCATTACTGCCTCATTGGAAACCTTGCTTAGGCCGGGTTATCACCAAGGTTATGATGTGTATCTAACGTCTAATGTAATTTTTAAATGTATTAGGTCTGAAGTCAAAGTTATGTGGGGTTATATAGAATATTTAAAAGATCCTCACCTAGTTCTTTATGTACAACAGTTTTTTGGTGTTTCTTTTAAAGAAGAAAAAAAAAATCATTTAAAAAAGAATGATAAGTTACTGTTTAAAGAAACAGAAGTGTTAAGTGATGATTCTGACAATCATAAGTTCTCAAACAATCATTACTATGATAAAAGCAACAGCGAAGAGTTGAGTTCCGATTCAGACTCGGAGAAAAAGAACTATAAAATAAATAATTTCTTTTGGTATTACGTTTTTGTATTAGGCACTGAATTAGGTGATGAAATATTCTATGCTACATTTATACCATTCTGGTTTTGGAACATTGACGGTGCGGTTGGACGAAGAATTGTCATGGTTTGGACAATTGTTATGTACATCGGTAAGATTTTATTCTCTTAACCTTGTATGCTTAATATCACCATTTTCCTTGAAGTTATCCTTATCATTGACCAAATATTTTGAAGGTCTTTACAGTTTTAAAATTCAAAATAACTTTTTTAAACTTTATATTGGTATCAATATGACCCTTTAGGCTGTATTGAGCTCTGCTTTAAATATGTATTACATTTATAATACCAATAACTATATTTATTAGTAACTATAATTCCTTATTTAATTTTGAAGTGTTCCAACATTATTCTTAAATACTCTGTGTTTTAAATGTTTAACATTTTAACTTTTATGAATCCAATCTCCATCATCAGAATAAATTCCCTCAGCAACATCCCAATTTACAATCATATTTAATCCAAAATCTTAAAATAATTTAAAAAATCTATGGTAGATAGAAATATAATTACCTTGATTATATATTCATACATATTTAACTCCTTAATCATTTATTCCATACAAAGTTCTTTTAACCATTGTTTTCAAATGAAAATTACAAATACATTTATTTTATTGTACCAATATCGTAAACAAAAAGTTAATTTGTTATAATACAATTTTATAAATTCTTTCTCCCTCCCTTCCCTCCAAATCTCGCACCATTTTTCTCTCCTAAACAAACCCAAATGAACGTATTTTTTGTTAAAAAATGGACCTTGCTTTTGCCTTGTTAAAAAAAATTTCTCTTCGAAAGGGACCCGATTCAAAATTTTCAGAAATATGTTACACAAATAAAGAATTTATTAATTTATTTTTTAAAAATTATTGATTTTGATATTATGATTGAAATAGAAAATATAGTATCTTTTTTTTTTTTTTTTTTTTTTTTTTTTTTTTTTTTTTTTAATAAATCAATCATTATCCTTTATTTTTATCATTCTCTACTTATATTTCTTATTTCAATTGTATTTTTTATTAATTGTTTATTTATATATTTATTTCTGGCAGAATTATTAATTAATTTACCAGATAATTATTGTTATGTCTTTATATATCATATTTTTAATATACTAATGTGAAATGGCAGCAATTATTAGTTAATTATCTACTGTACTTGTAAGATATTGAATACGATTTCTGGCAGACGGATTCCTACGCTGTAAAAATGTTTTGTTTTTTTTATTGTCAAAGTTCGTATTATAATTCAATAAAGCATTATTAATGGTATAGTTTTCTTCGTTCCCTGAAAAAATTTTAATAATGATTATGGTTCATTTTGAAAATATACGACTCATATAGTTATTATAAAATATATTTTATAATTAAACAAGATGAACTGAAACTGGCACGCAATATCTAACTTGAATAATTAGTACTAAGTATGAATTATTTTGTTTAATGAATATTAAACAGTTTGAAAATGGTCTAAATATTTATTCCTTTTAAGAATAATTTTTCCATGTTTTACTGTATGCAATGTCATTAATTTTGTTATTGTTTTCTACATTTTTTTTCCTCATGTACATCTTTAAAATTTATAATGCTCTCAGGAATTTAAAGAGCTCCCATTAAGTTATATTACGATTTAAGTATTTTGAATTATAAAAATGATTCATCAACACTTATGAACAATGAATCAGCATTTCAAAACGTAATATAATTATAAATTATACTGTAATACTAATACCACAATGACTATTATAAATATAAATTATAGTCAGTATATAATTATTTATATAAATCGAATTTCGGTAGAAATAATAGTGTATTAATAAAAAATATGTACTCGTCCGAATCCCTTTGAATGAGCAGCCCTGATGAAGGGCTTATTGTACTTCAAATAAATTGTTTTTGTTTTATTAACAGTTCATTGGTGATTGGTGTAACTCTGTGGAAAAACTCATTATTACTAGGATTGTCAATTATCTCGAGTTGTAAGACCCCTCTGGGTCTTAAGACATTCAGCCTGTATATCATTAGTATACAGTAACATAAACCCTACTTTCTGACCAACTACTGGTACCAAAACACATCGAATATGGGTTTTAGATTTTTTTTTTTATAATTATTTTTACTATTATAGTTTTTTTTTATAAGGAAATTTTTTTTTTTTTTTTAACTGAAGTATTTTCTTTGCACTGTAAACTATTACAATAACCAAATGAGCTTATGTACGTTATACATAACATCGGTAAGTATAACAGAGATAGCACCTAGTGGTCAAATTTCTTTAATCAGTTAGCAGAAATTTCAATCATCATCACCGCTAAAAATTACAAAATATAATCAGAAAAATAATAATTATAAATGTGTAAGAATAATGGTAACAAGATAATAGTAATAAAAAGAAATAAATAAGTGGATAGTAATAAGACTAAAAAATAAAATCAGAAAAATGATAAATATAAAAGTATAACAGAAGAAAAATGTTAAACATACAAATGAGATAACGGGTATGTAAATTTAACAATAATGAAAATATCTCTAAATGATGAAACGTTTCTTATCATATTTCAATGTTTTTATTATTTTTATGTTTATATAACCGTTATCTTATTTGTACGTTTCACCTTTTCCTTTTTTTTTTTTAGAAATAGAAATAGAAAATAACTTTATTCTGGGACAAAGTCCTTTAGAATAACAAAATAGAATCTAATTAAAATACTACATATGGCCAAAATAAAACAATAATAAAAAAAGAGAAAGTAAAGAAAATATTTTACTTTTTCTTCTCTTAAACTTTTATATTTATAATTTTTGTGAGTTTATTCTTTACTCTTATTAGTATTATCTTATTTATACTTTCATATTACTAATACCTTGTTACTGTTATTTTTCATTCTTGTTAATTTTACAATTATTATTTTCCGATTTTATATTTTGTAATTTTTAGCCCTGACGATGACCCACATGTTTGCGTTGAAACATCGGCTAACTGATTAAAGAAATTTTGACTGATATTCCTAACAATTTTGGTTCATCCTTATAATCAAGTATACTTGCTCACAAAATATTTTATATTCACAAAATTGCTTCATATAAAGTAAATATCGAGGCAGACCAGCTGGTGAAGAAGGCACCCTTGAGGCCGCAATTTGACTATAAGATCAGCCTAGATGAGGTTAAACCAATTACTGAAGCTACTATTAACCAACGTGGGATCCGAAATCATCCACATCATGACCTCAGAGATGCTATCCATGGACGGAATCCCAGCAAAGGAGAGTGATCTAGCCCTCTCCAACTGAATTGGAAAGAAAGCTATATAGAGGACCTGAGGAGGACTATCGAATTCTTCATTTTAATTCCTGACCTGGTCATATAAAGAAGAACATAGAAGAAGAAGAAAAAATAAACAGTGGCATTGAAAAAACGCTCAAAAATATTAAACAAATACAACTGAGTAATTATATTTAAGAAGACTAAACGTCACTACTAGCCATAGCAGTCTGTCAAAAAACAGCAAATAAATTTTTTAAACATGGTTGAAAATATTTGTTACCTTCTTTCTATTTGTCAGATTGTAGATTTTAATGTCTTAAAACCTGCCTGGTACAACATAGATAATTTTCTAAAAATTATGTGTATAAATCCATCGAGTAGTTTTTGTGTTAAGCAGTTTCAAACGGGAAAAGGGACTGTTACTTTATATAATAGTTTTATTAACAAGTAAATTAGTATGTTAAAAGTTGTTGAATTGTTTAATGAAAATTTTAGGATATTAATTTTTTTTTTTAATCCGTTAATATCTCTTTAGGTCAAGGATTGAAAGACATAATTTGCTGGCCGAGACCATCTAGCCCCCCTGTGTTTAGGTTACAAAAAAAGTGGATTATGGAATATGGGATGCCTTCAACCCATGCAATGGTTGCGATCTCAATACCATTTTCAGTTCTTCTATATACTATGCAAAGATATGAGGTAATTTTTATTTTATCTTTTAATCATTGCGTTATAAGTTTTAAATTTAAATTTGATAAGATTAAATTTATGATGATGGTCTTGTCAAATTTGAGATAAAAAAAAGAATTAAGACTTATTGTATTGACAATTTTCAGAGTTCCATGTGACTTTTTATCTTACCTTTGTAGATTTTGAAAAGGCATTTGACAGTGTATCATAAAAGAAAATGTGGGAAACCATGAATGAATTTGAAATACCGTTTAAAACCATCGATATTGTAAAGAAAGTATATGAGGGTTCCTCTATCCAAGTTATCCATTGTGGCTGGGTTTTGGAGCTCTTTAATGTTAGGACTGGTATTAGACAGGGATGTGTTCTCTCACCTAGCTTACTCCTTATGGTATACCGACATCATTTAATTGAGAGCTCTTTTTAGAGAACAAGGTCTTCAGTGGAGGTTCACAGAAAGACTCATCGATCTGAACTTTGCAGATGACTTGTGTTATTTTGCCCAAAGTTTCAGGAATATACAGGAGAAGCTAAATGAACTCATCGAGGAAGCGAGTGAACATTACGAGCTAGGAAAATCTTGTTAGAGGATCAAATAATTGGAAAGGGGAACTAAATTCTGCTATCTTGGGAGCATGGTAAGCCAGGATTGAGGGGTTGATGAAGATGTTGGGAACCATATAAGGAAAGTCCAAAAAGCATTCTTACGGCTCTAGTCAGTATGGAAATCACAAGAAATAAGAAGAGAGAACAAGCTGTGCATCTTCAAAAAAAATGTTATGTCAGTTCTGCTGTTAGCTTGTGAGACTTAAAAAGTCACCAAGCAGGTGACCGAGACACTACAAACATTCGTTTCTAGATGTATAAGGAATGTATTCCGAGTAAGGTGGACTGAAACGAACTCTAGTCACGAATTTTTTTTTTTTCGTTTTTATTTGTCATGTATTATTATTTTAAGTAAAAAATTGTACATTTAATAACATACTTTTTTTTCTCTATTTAGCATCAGCCCGATTTCTAAAATAAATAAAATTATTTCTGTTATCATTGTTTATTTATGTTTTTAAGTATTTTATTGTTCATATGCAAATTTTATATTTACTAATGTAATTGAAAAAACAAGTAATGTAAATGTATTTTTTAGTATCCATTTTTGATCGGATTGTGCGTTGCTGTTTTATGGTGCTGGGTAGTATCAGTTAGCAGATTATACCTTGGAATGCATACAGTAGCGGTAAGTTGTACAATTGTTTATCTATTTATTATAAATCTTTAAAATTGTTTATATGGTACTTTCCTCTTGTACTTTGTATACTATAGGTATTTTTTAAAATTTGTATCGACAAATCAGAAAATGAATACTTTCAATTTTCATGAATAATTTGTCATTTTTATTCATAGAAAAAAAAATTAGATAAAACATATAAACAAAAACGTTTAGTTATTAGGTTTTAATAACTAAACGTTCAACATTTCACCAAACATTATTATGACAATCATTTTATTTATTTATTTTTTCAACAAAACTTCACAATTTGCCGAATAGTTCAGTATAATCAGTGAATTATTTATCATATGCAATTTACAGCGTATGCACACTTTCAGTGATTCAGGTACAGTCCCATCTTGTCCAAGCAAGATAACTCTACTACAGCTTTCAAATAATCAGAAAGAAATGTGCCAGCAACAGAGATGGAAAAAATTGGAATAAATGATTTCAATTGAAAATAAAACTTAATGACCATACCAAATCTATACTTGATGCAATAGCTCTATAATTATAGCAAAAATGTGAATTACAATCGTAATCAGAAACCTAATCGTAATAATTGATTATGAATACTCCCATTTCTGACCAGTGATAATGAACTTATCAGTTATATTTTAAAAAATCTATTTACTTTTAGGACGTTATTGCGGGAATCATACTCGCACTAGTTCTCTTGATTCCGCTTGTGCCTTTAGTCGATTTCATGGACATGTTCCTCTTAACAAGTAGATGGTCACCGATCATTCTTCTTACGATAAGCATATGCGTAATCGTTTTCCATCCCAAAGACAAGATTTGGACACCGACTAGGTATGAATATTACCTTACTTTTAGTCCGAGAGAATTATTTGAATATTTATGATTTCTATTTGCAGAGGTGATACGGCTATGATTGTGAGTGTCTGCGTCGGTATCCATATCGGAGCTTGGACCAATTATCAGCTTGGCCAAATGTCGGAGTCGCCTTTGTCACCTCCATACACAATTATATGGCCTAATTATGAAATGTTAGGTGAGGTTTAATTATCTGTTATAAATAATAATATAATAATAAATTAATTACCTGTCTGCTCCTTTGTAACGAAGATCTTATTTTCATATATATAAGACAAGGAATTCCTAACCAGACAAATCCATATATACTATCCATATGTTTTCACAACTGCCCTTTAAATGTCTAGATTTGTTGCTATGAAAACACAACCCGTGTTTTATATATATATTCCCTTTCCAGTCATTTACAATATATATAGGATGTCCCTTATGTTAAGGAATATATTTCAAGAGATAATAGTAGACCTTAATTGCTACAAAAAAATGTATACAAATAATAGTCTGATTTTCCACAAAAAAATAAGAAATTAAAATTTTGAATTTTTTTTTTGTCACATTTTTTTATGAATAGGAAACGATCACTAAAAAAAATTATTTAATTTAAGTAATTAACAATTTATAGTAAACTAGATGAAATTTACTTCAAACGAAAGTGGATTTTGTCAATTGTTAAAACCATTTGAACGGATAAACTAAACTTTATTCTGTTCTTTATAAAATCATGGATTATTTTTTATTTTATGGAATAATTTTAATTTTGTCATGAATCCATTATGAATTATGTATTATTTTACCAGCCTCCTACTGATCTATAGATACTCCACTTTTAAAAAACTTCCTTGTCTAAGTCCATATTAATTAAGTTGAAGTCAGATATTGAATAAGTTGAAATTCACCTCTAGTTGTTTAAAATAATTATGCCATTTGATATTCTGTCATTCCAGAGTACTTCCCAGTACTTGAATATCTTCAGTACCGGTAACATGCCCTGATGACCTACAAGCTTGGGTTGAAACGTTGGGAACAATAAAAATCTTATATAACTTAGTAGTAATATTCCTATCCCATTTCATATTTATAGAATTTTTTACCGATTTTTTTTTTTCAGGTCTGGTATTCTTGCGGTCTGCTCTTGGTTTCTCTTGTATCTTGGCCACTCGAGCTATATGTAAATCGGCATGTTACGCCACGCTGAGCACTCTGGGCGTTTCCACAGAACCCATCGAGACTCCATCTTCTCTTAAGAATACGATAGATCTAATATTTAAGTATATCACATATTCGTTAATAGGATTCAATACACTTCACCTCTTGCCTAGCACATTCAAAATGCTTTCTATCGATCGGCCGACATTTTATACTGAAATTTAATAACAATTTTCATAGTTAGTAGATTTTGAATTACAAGCATTCGATTATATTTCTGCAGTAAATATAAAACAAACTTTATGGGTGGTAAAAAAACCGTCCTTTTATAGTTTCTATAAATGGTTAATGTAAAATCTTAGCCATTCCATTTTATTATTTATTAAATATTTACATAGTTAAATTAATTTAAAATAAATCAGTTCAAATTTCCTTAATAAGGAAACAAGTATTTATAATTTTGAATATTTAATAGTTAACCGTTGCATTATAAAGGAAGGAGATGGTCCGGGGTTGCGGTCATAAAAAGGCTAAATAGTGGTAAAACTATTTTATTGAAAGCCAACGTTTCGATAAAATAGTTTTACCACTATTTAGCCTTTTTATGACCACAACCCCGGACCATCTCCTTCCTTTATTTATAATTTTGTTGTTGAGTAACTAATAATGAACTAATTATGTTATAATAATTTAATGATAATATGAATAAATACAAACACGAATATTTTTTATAAAATGAAATAATTTCTTTTATAAAGATTAATCAATCATCTGTTATTCTGTTGTTAAAATATTTATTTCTCCAATAATTATTTAGTATTTATTTCTTATTTTTTTAAGTAGTATTAAGTAAATTATTGTAATTTATTGAATTATACTACTAAAATTTTAGTCCAAACACTTATATTATTTTTCTTTGTTGAGCATATTTTATATTATTAATTATTATTTGGAATTATTTCCAAATATCAATTGTTACAAATTATTCTAAAATTATATTGTTTGTTATTTGAAATCAATTTATTTTTTAAATTAAACTATTTGTTTTTAAAATTTCTTTAAATTTATAGTAATTATTCGGTTTGTTTTACCCATTGTAAAGGGAACAAGAAAAAAATATATTTCTTACTCTTATCACAATAATAATATATTAATTTATATTATATTTGTGTAATCCAAAATACCTGTAAACAGCTAACTATTGAACGTTTTACAATTCAGCCAACATGAAAACCAAAAAAAACTAGGTGATATAGTTGAAGGACAAATACAAAAAAAAAAGACAATATACAACTGAAAATATAAAAAATGCACTATTTCCAAGACATTCAATCATATTTATTTCTGAATTGGAAAAATATTGAACTGTTTGTTGTTTAATGTTATTTTAGAGACTTGAGGTTATAGTTATCATCTCACCAAAAAAAAAAAAAAACTGCTGCGTGCATCTCGCAACTTTCACTTATTACCCCTTTCTTTGTTGAAATAAGTATTTTCAGACAAAGGAAAGTAAAAATTTTAGTCGGTACAAAATATTATTTAAAACAATTAATTACCACATGTTTTTCTTAGCTGTTTAATATATTATATTTATTTTTTTCTCAGTAACCATTTCTTTTTAGGACTGTATATTTTAATTATTTATTTGATTATAATAAATAATTAAGTGCTACAAAATATTTTTAGTCCAACAAAAGTGCTACTGGTTATTTATATTTCGCTGCATTTATTTATGTTTCATTGTGGGTATATTTATTTGTTTAAGCACCGATGTATATACATATACAAATTTTAATTTTTTTATTGCTGTAATCTATACAATTAAATATTACCAACCTAGCACTTGAAAACTACATTTGTATATGTGTATAATATTATTGGACCCTGTATTTTGTTAAGTGCACGCTACCTATGGATGGTTCAGGTGCACTATATTTCTTTGGTGTCTATTACTGCTATTATTCGTTGCGATCACTTATTTTTACTTTATTTAATTATCAAATTCTTTCATATTTTATATCATTTTACTATTTGAAATGATTAATTATTTAAAATAAAATAATTAAAGGTATTTTAGAGGAAGAAATTTTGAAAGTTAGGTATTTAAACCCTGTTAGAGAACATGACCTACATTATATTAAAAACCGCCTAATTTTACACTGATATAATGAACTTAATCAAAATCGTTAAAGCGGTTTTTCAGATATTGTAAACATGTGTGAAATCGATAACATAAAGTATCATTTCCGGTTAGCCGATTTTGACGAAAAAGTTGCTGTAACATCCCAAGCATGTACAAACCTTAAATACGAAATTTCAGTAGCGTATGACTTTTCATTTTTGAGCTAGACTGTTCAAACACACATAAACCATTTTGTGGGACTTGGATAGTTAGACTCAGGAGACATCAAAATATGTATTTATGTTCTCAGATCAAAAAATTTTCATGATTGCAATACTTTTTTTTACTAGATAAGACATATATATGTAAGTGAAAGTAAAAAAAAAATGATAATTTTTGAAGGTAAGTCAATTTAAATTCAAATATGTCGCTGTTTGTCCTGCTTATCCTTGTTGCAAGTTGTGTTGTTTGTTAGTCGATCGGTAGCTTTTCATGTTCCCAAACGCAAAAAACACATACAAGCCCTTGGTAAAAATAAAAAACAGAAAGCAGTGCAATGTAGGGGAAGTTTTAACATGGTTGTGTTTCAGAGAAATATTTTAGTTTAAGCTATTTTTATTTTAAAAAGGAAAATTCAAAAACAAACAAAACACTAATGCAAATACTTGTTAAAATCCTGCACCCTTTAATTTATTTTAAAAAAATCAATAGTTGACAATCTGGCCACACTTGTAATAACCTTTTGTTGAATCTTTAAATTTTTAAATCATTGAAGTATTCTCAATAATAATTATAAAGAAATTAATATAAATTTAAATTTTTATTATAATCATATCCTATAGCCAAAATAATTATATGCATTCTTGTTTTTTTAGTTGAAATAATATTAAATATATAAATTTCTCTGTGTAAATCATTTAATGTTTTGCTCTAAAATAATTTGGGTAATCTGTAAAAATGGCCTAAGTAGTTCAAATTAGAATTAACCTTTTAATGAATGTTTAAATTTTTAAATAATTCAAGTATTCTTAATAATAATTATAATGAAATTAACATAAGTTAAAATTCTTATTATAACTTTATCCTTAGCAAAAATAATTATAAGCATGTTAGTTTTTAATTAGAATAATATTAAATATATTAATTTCTCTGCTTAAATCATTCAATGTTTTTCTCTGGTAATTTATTATTAGAAAAAATTATAGATTTTAAAATTTCCTTTACTTAGCCAATACATCTGAATTTAAAAAAAACAAATAAATAAACAAATATAAGTGTTTGGAATAAAAGTTTTATATTTTTTATATTATATAGTTTGTTATTTATTATAAGATTGTTATCTTTTTATTTGGCTATGTCCATTTTATTTCATTTTTTTTTAATATAAATTAGTCATGTCAATATTTTTTAATGATAGGGATTGGAAAAGGGGTAGCGAAAATAGTTGTTTCAGTTAATAGCTTATAGATTTTATTATTAAAGAATATAGGTTCATATTTGTTTATAATATATAATAATGTAACTATCAGGTATATTTATAAAAACAGGAAAACGATGGTCGTTTATTCTTCTCTTGTTGTCTAGTCAATCGTAATTTTGAACTGGTTCCGAGGAAAAGCTATTTCATAGATAAAAAAATATACTTTTACGGTTAATAAGTACTACACTAATATATTAGAATGTTTCACTATTTTTTCTTATAAAATATTTTTATGGAATTTAATTTGAAGATTCCAAACAGAAATCATGAGTATTTAAAATAATGGTTAACAATGAAATGATTCATCAATTCAGACATCACCAGGGAAGAACAAAACAAGATCACATAAATAAACAAATTCAGCACATCTCACGTTAAAAATCATACCTTTTTAATGTATTTTTGTTATATTGTATATGTATTCTTGTTTTTATGGTTTCTAGTGGTCAGCTATTTGATTAGAACCTTTTAGAAGATAAAATCCAACACATCTCACTTCAACATCCTAAAAAATATACATCAAATAAAGAGAGTAAATTTGTGTTTGGAATCTTCTGATTATTTCCTAAAACAATTAGTTTTTGTATCTTTTTGAGTTTTGTACCTTATTATATTAAAAATATTTTGGGTTATATTTTTCATTTTTATCTTCATCCTTTAAATACATAATATTGTCGGTTTATTGTAAAAAGTCACTATATGCATTTTTGATGGAGCTAAAATTTTAAGTATATACAGATACAGCAAGTGTATCAAAATGGCTCAAACTCTTTTATATCTGTCAGATATATGGGAGAGAGAAGGGAGGGATTCAGGCTGAACTCCTGTAAGAAAAATAGTTTATTTTGCGTTGGTTTATATTTGTTTATGTGAGTGATCTAAGCTTAATACTTAAATAATCACAATATGTGCTCTTTTTAAATTATAATGGGTATACAGATACTAAATGTGAGCACCTGTCAGGAAAACATTAAAAAAAATTATCTATAAGGCAAAAGCATAGTTGTTCCTACAATTAATGTTATTTTTTTGTTAACAGTTCTACAAGGACCACTTAAAAATCATTTTATATTCTTTCTTTCTTTCTTTCTCTTCCTGAGTATTAAATGATTTCTAATTAAATAATAAAAAAAAGTCTTCTAAATTCAATTCTGGATCCGCTATCGATTTTCATATACTTCCTGTTCAATGTTTTTATTTCTATTTCTATTGTCATTAGAGACCTTGTAGATCTTTTGCGGCCTTAACAAGCCTGCTCCATCTCTGCCTATCTTTCCCTATTCCTTTCCAGTTATCTGCCCGCAGCTCTGTTGCATCTTTGTTGATTCTATCTATCCATCTGCTTTTTGGTCTTCCACATTGTCTTTTCACTTTTATTGAGACATTCATTGTTGTGTAGAGCCTTCCAGATGGATTGCTTCGAGCTACGTCCTGGCCATCTTAACCTCTGTGTCTTCATATCTTGAGATATTGATTGTCCAGTTTCTGTAAGCAGCATTTCCAACCATTGGTCATTCATTGAGGCTATTGTGCATCCAAGGTATTTGAATTTTTCTCCTTTTGGGAACAATTTTCCATCTATGCAAATATGGTTTTTATGGTGGAATTTTTGACTTATTGTTATGTATTCTGTTTTGTCTTCATTTACTTGTAGGTCAATTTGCTCTGCCTCTCTTATGAGAATCTTAGCGAGTTTCTCAATGTCCTCTTTAACATATCCAAGGACAGCTATATCATCTGCGAATCCAAGGATTTTATGATTCATTTCGATGTGCACCTTTCCATTTTCGTGGGATCTATCCAATATATAGTTACACTAAATACATAAAAGTCTGATTACACAAAGAGAATATTCAGCAAAATCCATAGAGATTGAATTTCATGAAATGTTGCTTAATGACTTTTTGAAATAAACCTTCGGTATTTA